TGTGCGACACCCACCCACCCCCTTCCGATCCGCGCCTGGGGTTCTTGCATTTTTTAAATTTATATTAAAGATGCATTATGCAAGATTAACATAAAGAGCTGACAGTTCTCACTATAAGCGAGGCTAAGACTTGAATAACCAGCGCCGTAGTTACGATAATAAACAATAACTGTATGGCGGACATCTGTCTTCATTAAACCCCATTTCATTTAATTCCCTTACACACTGAACCATAGTGACTACAAATTGAAGAAGTCGGATATATATTAAATGATGTACTTACCTATAACAACCAATAAGAGAATTAATCTTGTATCCATCGTTGGTTATTTATTAATAATACCTATATGCAGAATTCTTTGTCTTTATATTGTCTATCTGACTATCTGTTTCCGGCAACACAAGGGAACACACAGCAGGATTTCCATGAAATTGGCGGGAAGTAATGTTAAGCGCGGCTCATGACCAAATATAGGTACATCTTCGTGTATAATATTCTTAGAAACAGGGGGTAGTTGAACGTTTCATTTTAAACAAGTTTTCGCCAATGAAAAAACACATACATATAATGGTATATACATCAATACATAAATCAACATAAATCAATATTATTAAACATCAATAAAAACGATCATTGATATGAACAGTTAAATGTTGACCTAATCAGGCGTTTACAACAATTGTTTTTTTTTAAGATGATAATTTGATTTATTGCTAATTATTGAGAATTAAGAATACATTCTGAAACAACAAGGAACTGTAAATTATACATACGAGCATATAATAACATATTGTAGGGGATATTGAAATGCAAATACCCATGCAGGTTGTGATATGATAAATAGTCATGGACACTTGACATGCTTTGAGAGTATGTTGGATGAAGAACGTATCGCCCAACACAACCACCGAGCTACATATGCGACACGCATTAGCGCCTTACACTTGGGAGGGGTTCATTGTCAAATTTGATGACAACTGCCGCGTGCTGGTTTACCTATCCATGTTTGCTTTCCTATCGGTTCTTGCATAAGATATTCTGTTTAGCGTATCTTTGCTTTAGTGTGTTACGTTTAATTTGATCGGGAGACGTGTTCGTCGCGGTCAACTTCAACCGACAACACTGCAAGAATTGGCCGTGGCACTGCTAGAGGAGTGGGTCAGATTGCCCCAAATCGTGATTGGACGGTTGATTAGGAGCATGCCACGACGAATTGCTGAATGTCTGAGGACTGGTGGAGCAATTACTCATTATTAAGACAAAAATCAAAACAGCCATTTTCACTTTTGACAGTGTATATCTTTGCGAGTGAAATGGGGCCGTCAGATAAGACGCCCATATGAACTGTTTATGTTCATGTGTAGGCAATTGGCCTGTATTTAACATACACTGGTTACCTCTAATAAAAACAGCAGTGCATTTCAGCAGTTTTGTATTGTTTTTGAATATCCCCTACTTTTTTTGAAGAGTATATTATTAAGTCTGTATATTAACTAATTTCATGTTTTATATTTCTCAAACCAGGTAAATTACTAGAAAATGGTAAAAATTAACGAATGGCACCCATAGGCCACCGTACTTCTATAGTAATTTTATATTTATTTTCAGATTTGACATATAGCTGACGATGTTTGTAGTTATTTTGTATTAATGTTTTATAAATATCTATTGAGGTTATAATTGATATATCTTTGTTATATATAATATTTCTAAAAAAATATCTAAATTTGTTATACGTGTTTTATAAATATCTATTGAGGTTATAATTGATATATCTTTTTTATATATAATATTTCTAAAAAAAATATCTAAATTTGTTATACGTGTTTTATAAATATCTATTGAGGTTATACTTGATATATCTTTGTTATATAATATTTCTAAAAAATATCTAAATTTGTTTTTCATATAAATATCTATTGAGGTTATAATTGATATATCTTTTTTATATATAATATTTCTAAAAAAAATATCTAAATTTGTTATACGTGTTTTATAAATATCTATTGAGGTTATACTTGATATATCTTTGTTATATAATATTTCTAAAAAATATCTAAATTTGTTTTTCATATATTTCCGTTTTCTTGTTTCGTTTACATATTTAATGTTAAACAAAAGTCAACTTAAAGGCTCAATACCACTCTTGTTGTAACTGAATAATATGTCCCAATCTTTATTCTGGTCAACAAATTGTACTATTTTACAATATTCCAATTAATTGATGATACAAATTTCATCTTAACACACCTAATTTAAAAAATTGGAAAAATTCAACTAAATGATTTGAAAAGCCCGACGTAAAGCTTTTCAAATATTTTTGAACCCTCTGGACAAGTAAAATAGGATTTATTAGATAATTTACACAACAAGTAAGACACTAACACATCTAGTACTTAGAATAAGGCAATTTGTTATTTTTTGGAGCTGTCAAGCCAGCAAGAGTGTTATTGTCCCTTTAGTACGATGATTATCTTGTGGAGAGACTGATGTCGGCAATATCCCCAACAAATAAAATATTTATCGTAAATTAATATATTCTTAATTTAAGACTTAATGATTATTCTTAAATTATGATTATTTCAAATTAATATCTGTCAGTGGTAATGCTTCTCCGAGAAAACTGTTGTAATTCTATAGTGCCGAAACAACGAAATCTGACATCTTATAATCTCAGAATGAGACTCAGATCTCTAAAAACAAGAACTGGTTTTTGTCACTTTGACGTATTTACCGAACAATAATATTTAATCTGAATTCCAGCTAAAAGATTTACCCGTTTGAACCTTCTCAGTCTCGAAGACGTGTAAATATATATTGCTGAAATATATTATAAAGAACAGCCGGCAACACGTTAATGTCCACTCGACACAACTAGGTCATTTCGGGACTAACATATGATTCAATTTTATTTCAATAATACGCTTGCGCGTAGGGGTCCTTTCACAGTGGGAGGAAACCGGATCATTCGGAGAAACACCACAAGCTTAGACAGACGACCCTACTCCTTGTCAAGCGGCAATTTGAAACCACGCCGTACGACCCAAACCTCCCACAACCATAGACAATGTTCTATTCTACAACAGAATCATATTTTTGTTACTCTCTCTCTCATATAACGCCCCACCCACTTATTGAAAGTTAACAATTTTAAAGTTTACGAAGACATCTATTTTCATAAAAACAGTATCAACCATTCCACCCAGAATGATCTTAACACCACCATCACAATCTTTTACGAACTGGAATATAGACAGAAAGGTTATTCCGCGATTCCCGGTCGAAATTTGTTACCCAAAGTCTGAGATTCTGACACTCCACTGAATAACCCCGCTAAGATTCCAAGATTTTCTACTAGAACTTTATTCTGATTTGGGTTCACTACATTTCTAGATGTGATGCTGGACGGAGGGCCTGGCAAGGACAACTGTCTAGTCATTCGGATGGTGCGAAAACCGAGGTCCCCGTGTACACATTGGCGTGCACGTAAAAGATCCCTTGACAGTTGGATTTCGATATAAGAGTAGGCCGTAGTGCCGTTGTCCAGACAAAATTTCCCCCATAGCACACTGTATGGCGTATGCCCGTCTTCATTAGCCCAGTTCGGAGCAAAACAGTAGGACGTTAAACCCCATTTCATTTCATTTCACGTTTCTAGATAAGTCTACTTGTTCCTCATACCAAATTAGCGGTCACCACGCCTCGGTTGAAGTCGACGACAAATTATTTTCAATTTTTATCCTATTTTCGCTTTAAAACATTGTTGTTCTTTCCAGTTGAATATTTTACAAACTAATATGGATACGCATTTACGAGCGTATTATAGATATCATTGCATTGCGGATGATCTACGTGGAGGCCCAAATGATTGAAATCATTCCAGTGGGGGCCCTAATCTTGGTGTCAGGTTAAAATGTCGTGTCGTTGGGCTAAAATGTCGTGATGTCGCGTTGTCAGGTTGTCGTGGTGTCGGGTTGAAATGTCGTGATGTCGGGTTATTGCCTTATGCAAGTCGACACCACGACGTCACGACATGATAACAATCAGTCACTATATAGGACACAGATCACCAAATATTCCTACGCCGTCACTTAATCTTCCTCTCCCTTTTCCTTTTCCCTCCTTTTGCATGGCGATGTTTGTTGACTTTTTGGTGTAGAATCGAAGAAAAGTGTTTGAAAATACATTTTCTGCCAAGTTTTTGTGAATATTCATAATTTTGATGCGGAAGGATACAAGAGTTGAGAGGTTGGTTAGGTTGAAATGTAGGGCCTGAAATTACATGTTTACTTGTCTCTACTTCTAGCTTGTATATCTCAAGTTTTTCATGAAGAACCTCATACGTGCTTTTGGGCAAGAGGTTGCCACATGTTGCTCCATCTGTGGTAGAAAGCGTTCTGCCCAACGAAAATTTGGGAAAAAGATACGAGAATTAACATTGGAGTCAACGGGGAAATCTAGTACCACATGTGTACAAGATGGCGGAAGGTTGGTTTTGATGCGGAAGTTGGCAATTGAAGATAAGAACTTGGCTGGTGGATGTAATAGAAGATACGTTATAGCGATATTTCTGTTCATTCACCTCGTCCCACTGACGGATATTTTAACCACACATTATGTTACATTTAGATATAGAACTTGCCATTATTGTTAGAATAGTTCAAAAATAAATAATTTAAAATTAATAAATTAAAAACACTTATATGGATATAGTACTTCTGAATTTATTAACATGCTACGTTTCGAAGAGAGAGAGAGAGAGGGAGAGAGAGAGCGGGAGAGATGGCGTTTAACGTTCTCTCGGCACAAACTAGGCCATTTCGGAACTAGCATTTGGTTCAATTTTATTTCAATAATTCGCTTGCGTGTAGGAGTCTTTAGCAGTGGGTGGAAACTGGAAGCCCGGAGAAAACCCACGAGGTTGGACAGGCGACCCTACTCCTTGTCACGTATAACCGAGGAATCATTTGTCATATCAGATTTGTAAATTGTATCTGTGTTTACTTCAATTGTATTTTAATATAATGATAAACTTTATTTTAGAAAATCAAAAAATTACATTTACATTTCAACAGAAAAATACTACAACGAAAAACAAATCTTGAACAAATATTGTCCAAATACAAATCTCTAAATACCAAAACAAATGCCAAAAAACCCCACATTTCTCCAAACTCATTTAACCTGAATATTATGACGACAGAGGAAAGTAGAGATGGCCTGTTAAACAGCTCTACCACGATTCATTAGTAGCTGTACTATACCGTTCTTTGATGATATACATTCTTCCTTGTAATATAAAGATTTATATAATAATTATTAAACTCTTTATATAATTTTAATTTTAAACAATATACTTATAATTTGTAATATACAATAATTATATAGTAAACTATAAACCATAGTGATATACACTTATAGCGCCATAGAGCAATCAAAATATTGGATTATAGGCGCTCTATAAATAAATTATTATTATTATTATTATTATTATTATTATTATAACATATTAAAACATATACCATGACAAAAAAAATAATTAGATAACATAATATATTAGAGCATACACCATGAATATTAGAATACATTGTATAATATAATATACAATAGATTATATATCATAATAATATACATCAATTAGATAAAAAACTATAACCATTAAGAAATATATATCATAATACAACAGATAGGAAAATATACCAAAACATAACCATGACAAAATATATATCATGGTAATATGCAATAGATTACATTCTATAATATACAATAGATTATATCCAAAATATATATCATGATAATAGCAAAATATAACCAGGACAAAATATATATCATGATAATATACACTAATTAGATAGCAAAATATAACCATAACAAAATCTATATCATGGTAATGTACAACATATTAGATAGGAAAATATATTTCATGACAAAATACACCTATTAGAAGGCAAACCATGAACAAGATAACGTTATTATTATTTATGTTGACACTATTACCAATAATAGTGTCAACATAAATAATAACACGGTCATCATTGGCGATATCGATGTTAAAGTTAGCATTAGGGTTATCGGTGGAAGCACTCAGATTAGGGTTATCGGTGGTAACACGAAATTTAGAACACACTGGTAGTGCTATTTTTCGATTCATTCCCTTCAATATGTTTAAAGTACTCTGACAGGATTCGGGTGTGCTTTGGTCGATCAAACAATCAAGTGTAATTTCCTGTAATCTGTAATTAAAAATTTAATAATAGAGACAAATTGATTTGGAGCTAGTTCATTTCCCGTAGTTACCCCCCTTGGATTGGGAATTTGTCTCAACCCACGTTCGACAATTATCATAATTATGATTAAGTTTATAGTTTATTCAGTTTATTAGTGGGGGTGGGGGATGATTAGCACGTGCCCGCTGTATCATAAGGTCTGTCATTGAGTCAACTGGCGTGGTTTCGATTCTCCGGTTGTACATGTCCAACCTCGTGGGTTTTCTCCGTGTCCTCCGGTTTCCTCCCACTGCTAAAGACCCCACGCACAAGCGAATTATTGAAATAAAATTGAACCACGTGTTAGTCCCGAATGACCTAGTTTGTGTCGAGTGAACGTTCAACCCCAGTTCTCTCTATCTCTCTGTTCAGCTTATTGGAATGGAGACTCATATTAATATTCACTATTTCTACAAGAGATACTGTCCTTGATTGTTAAATCGGGGAGCCACGGTGGCTAAGTGGTAAGACGTTGGCTCGCTAGGCTGGAGGTCACGTGTTCGATCCCTGCAGTTGGCCGAGAAAGTTCATCGGGATTTTCCGACGTGGTGTCTAGTAATTCGGATGAGTCGCAAACCGAGGTCCCGTGTATACATTATCGTGCACGTAAAAGATCCCTCGGCAGTTGGAATTCGATATAAGAATAGGCTATGGTGCCGCTGCCCGGACAAAACTTCCCTAATAATGGGATAAGTCGGTAAAAGGCTAGAGATGACGAGACAAAATGAGAATCTACCAACTTTATGAAACCTTTAATTCCCAGTTTGTCATTTGGCCACATAGTGCTAGATAAGTGATTACTATTTAGAAGTTTAACGCATGCGCGTTAGATGTCAAGGTCTGTCAAGGTCGGGTGGTGTGGGTTTGATTCCCAGCTTGTACGTACGTGACGAGGAGTAGGGTCCCGCGTGTTCCCCCTCTCTCTCTCTCTTTCTCTCTCTCTCTCTTTACCTGCAAAAGTAGGCTTTCCATTTATTGAACCCTTCGTTGCGTTTGGGAAAGTCTGTGATGTTGAAATTTCTAGAAATACATTTCATGTTTTCTTGGCCAATGTCCATCATACACTTGTAATCAAAATCTGAAATAAGAATGACTATGTATATACCTAACATAACATTATGATTTGTACAACAAAATACAACTTCAATCTTAAAGCTGAACTCCGGTTACAAAAATACCGAAATAATTAAATAAAAAAAAGGTTAACGCCCCCAAGCCGCCATACTTGTTTCCAATTTATGAAATAAATATGGCGGACATGGAGGCTTATGACCTGGAAAGGTTAGCCGATCTCACTTCCAGTTTGTTTCTTGTCAGCCAGTTGTACACATCCGGTTTTATTCTCTACACACGCTTCACGGATTGCTCAATTTTTTGCCAACAGTATACCAAATTATTGAAGATTGCAAAATGTCTGATCAGGTAAGCCTGTAAATAATTATATGAACTGCGCCTACTACAATAATATAGCCTAAGCTTTACTCTAAAACAAAAGATGCAAAAAGATGCCTTACCCCAACCTGAAATTTTCAACCAAAACAAATCACACTATTGTCTTCTTCATATTATTAATATTATTATTGCCACGTCTTCTTGCGAATATCTTACACATACATGTATATGTAAATCACCTAAAAAGTTATCGCAGCATAATGTCCACTGTCCAGTGTAATTATAACTAATACTGTGCAATAAACAGATAGTTTAGATTAGATTTTCACAGGTCGCCATGTTTTTTGGTATATTATTGTTCACGAAAACGATCAAGGGATATAACTACATTTTTGGGGGCGGCTCGCATTGGGGAGTGTTTGACAGTGCTAAATTTATTGACGTTACTTTTTTTTGTTATACATATTATTTTACTAATTAGATGACGTTACCATCAAGTGATATAACCCTTCTGGCGGTCAGATAAGGCATTGAAGGGTCAGTGAGAAATTCATAGATATCAATTTCTTCCACCTTGGTAAAATAGAACAAAAAACCGTAACATCAATAAATTTAGCACTGTCAAACACTCCCCAATGAGAGCCGCCCCTAAAAATGTAGTTATATCCCTTGATCGTTTTCGTGAACAATAATACACCAAAAAACATGGCGACCTGTGAAAATCTAATCTAAACTATCTGTTTATTGCATAGTATTAGTTATAATTACACTGGACATTATGCTGCGATAACCTTTTTGGTGATTTACATATACATGTATGTGTAAAATATTCACAAGAAGACGTGGCAATAATAATAATAATATGAAGAAGACAATAGTGTGATTTGTTTTGGTTGAAAATTTCAGGTTGGGGTAAGGCATCTTTTTGCATCTTTTGTTTTAGAGTAAAGCTTAGGCTATATTATTGTAGTAGGCGCAGTTCATATAATTATTTACAGGCTAACCTGATCAGACATTTTGCAATCTTCAATAATTTGGTATACTGTTGGCAAAAAATTGAGCAATCCGTGAAGCGTGTGGAGAGAATAAAACCGGATGTGTACAACTGGCTGACAAGAAACAAACTGGAAGTGAGATCGGCTAACCTTTCCAGGTCATAAGCCTCCATGTCCGCCATATTTATTTCATAAATTGGAAACAAGTATGGCGGCTTGGGGGCGTTAACTTTTTTTTATTTAATTATTTCGGTATTTTTGTAACCGGAGTTCAGCTTTAACTCGAATAATGACCCCAACTTCAAACTAAAACACAATTGCGGTCTCTATCGTGTGCACAAGATTTTTGAAATGCGGCGCAGCTTGGGCCGGTGACTCTGAAACTGTAGGTCTGGGAACATTGAAAATCCATAGCGTGCATACGCTTATACGAAGCCCCCAGGAGCTATTTCTTTAATCTTGGGCACCTAGAAATGGACACAAATAGGTCGCAACGCATATAATAATGTAATATGAATGTATATATCAACTGATTTACATTCAATCGGTTCGGTTCTACTGTAATATCTAATTAGTCATGTTCAGTGAAATACGCGAAGAGTTCTAGTTGAGTAGCATTCTTTGGATTTTGGTTATTCCAGTCTTCACCAGTTTATCTTGTTCATCGAAATGCGTCTTTACAAATGGCGCTCAAATGCATTCGTGTGCCAATTTGAAAATGTTCACTGTGTCTTAAATATTGGATATCAGAAGCCCATCTTTTCAGGGTAAGATAACAACATCAATGTGGATTTAAATTGTAAGTTGTGTTTGCAATTTCGAAGACATTGAGTTTACTAGGCTACTTTAAGTGCACGATTCGACAGTGCACATTGAGACGAAATGTTTATTCGTTTAAACGAAATGTTAGTTTGTATTAAGCGAAATGTTATTCCGTTAATACAAAATTTTAATTCTTTTAAACGAGATATTAATTCATCTACACGAGATATAAGATTTCGTTAAATCGTATTAATTATTTCGTTTAATCGAATTAAGATTTAATTTGAAAATAAAATAATTGTGGTCTCTATCGTGTTCACAGGGTTTTTGAAATGCGGCGGGGCTTGAGGCGGTAACTCTGGAACTGCAGGTCGAGGAACACTGAAAATACATAGTATTCATACGCTCATGACTCCATAGTAAAAACAACACATATGTTAAAAACCATGGCTTCTATTGGTTCACAAGTTTATCGGAATAGATATCTTTTCGGGGTGGGGGAATCTGGGTTGGAAGGTTGCGGAAACGATAGGGTTCATTCCCTCAATAACCCCAATGCTCATGACTCCATAGTAAAAACAACACATATGTTAAAAACCATGGCTTCTATTGGTTCACAAGTTTATCGGAATAGATATCTTTTCGGGGTGGGGGAATCTGGGTTGGAAGGTTGCGGAAACGATAGGGTTCATTCCCTCAATAACCCCAATGCTTCACACCAATGTATGAAGGATTTTTAAAACAGGCGGAGGAGAAATCCTGGACGGAGGCTTGCGGAACGCAACAATCGATAGGGTTCACCCCTTTATGTCCCCAATGCTTCACACCAAGCTTTTCGGAAAAACGGCGCATCGCTCAAAATCAGCAGGGTTCGTCCACTAATAACCCCGATGCCTCACACCAAATTTGAAGACAATCAGATAAACCCTATAGGAACAGTCGTATCGATGGTCCTACGGGCGGACGTGCAGTGGCGACATGGAGCATTGTGTAATTATGTGAGTGGACCATATCAATTTCCTTCATTGTCCATCCGTCCATATGTTCTTGATTTCTTGCTTAACGTGATGATTTTTGTTAATGTCGTGGCGAAGCATTAGGACCACGACAGCATGCATACTATCTTTTTCATCATTCCTCCCCTTTCTATTTTCCGAAAACCTTGTGAACGCGATAGAGGCTATATAGTTTTTAGCGGATTGTGTTTCAATTTGATGTGAAGCATTGAGGTCATTAGTGCTGATTTTGTCGGATATATATGTATAATTTAAAATGCAAGAGGACCAGGTAATATAACTTACCTGCACTGTTCTGACAAAAATACAATACGTTTGCAGTAATAACTTTATCTGTAGGAAATAGACTACTAAATTCATCCGTGAGACATTTAGCAATGGCATCTTGAATACAAGTAATCAGCGATATGTACTCTGTCATATAGCTGAAAAAGTGAATATTCAATCTGCAAGGTGTCATGATATTTGTGACATAATTAACTAAATTATAAATTACCAACTAAATGAGGGATTTTAAGACGTGTTGGTCTTTGGGGCGGGCCAATGACGAACAAGACGCGGGGCGGGGCGACGCAGGTGCCATGCGCCAGAAAGTTCCGCAGCTTGAAAGTGCCGCAGGACGAGAGTGGCGCACCACCCCGAAAGTACCGCCTATACTACTGTCGCCAACGTGGGATAGACTTTCCATGTAAACAAGCCATAAATATTAAGTAAACTAGATACCCAATTACTTCTTCCACTGTTCAGCTTGATAAAAACAATTGAAAATTCTTACCTACACACTATGGAAGCATTAAGGGTATGCAAATTTTGCAAATGTGCATTTACTAAATTAATAATATCGGGGAGTACTTGATGTTCAGTCATACATTGGTTGATGTCATTAATAAAACTCGTACAATTTCCGAGATCATACAATCCTTGTCCGTTGGCAACTGGGGTTACGCCTGCAATGAAAATCGAAATTCTGTTTCATTCTTTAAAAGCTCAGAAAGCCGTTCTTTATAAAAAATATATTTGCGATTGGAAGGTTTTGCAGTGAACATAGAAAATAATTGTTTGTATTTTGGTTATGAGAAAATATCTGACAGAAATACATTATTCTTAAACAAAAAGATCAGATACAAATTGTCACTAAATATAAAATAATGGAACGGTTGTACATGCAAGATATAAAGTATGCAATTTTACAAAGCAATCGGGGTGGGGTGGGAAAATGGTTTAACGCGTGCGAGTTGAGTTATAAGGAATGTCATTGTGTGGTATGGTTTCGATTCTCACTTGAACGTTTGCCAAACGTCGTTGGTTTTCTTCTGGTCCCCCGGTTTCCCCACTGCTAACGACCGATACGCGCAAGCGGAATATTGAAATACAATTGAACCATATGTTAGTTCCGAAAAGAACTAGTTTGAGTCAAGAGGACGAAAAAACCGAATGCTCCCCTAGCCATAATGATGATGGTGAAGACAAGCATTGCCACGTACTGTATTAATAAGTCGTGATCATAGTAATTCAAGGTTATTCCGCTGCATAATTAGATAATAGGTTTTAGAAACAAAAACCAAAACAAAAACATACCCATTAATGAGACAAACAGGAGAACTTTAAGAGACATTTTTTTTCTGATCACAGATCTGGTATATTCTATAACCCAGTAGACACACTGAAAAATACACAAGACGTCAATACGAGCTGATATATTTATAATATTTGAACCAACAGACACTATACAATTATATATTTCGTTGATATTTAACTCTATGCTCACAGTTCTGTAACGCGTCTAAAGAGTTGATATATGTCTATACGATAAAACACAGCCCAATTATATAATATAGGTGATTCATTGGTTGTCGTCTTTCACCTTAAAACTGCTTCAAGTTGATGGGCGTTAACTTGTTGAGAGATCCGGGTCGTAGATTCATCTAGAGTGATTATCAGAGCGTACAAATGTCTTGCCTGTGTTTTTGGGGGTATCGAGTTATTTGTATTCTGATGGGTCTATACACGACAAAACCCTCAATAGAAGGCTTGATCCGTACATCTTATCAATCCCTACACGAAATACCCGCACATTTCGGCACTAATTTCGACTGGGTACAGGCCCACCTTGAGAGCCTATCAGATTCCTCGATCATCTCGTGCTTTCCAGTTAAAATGTCTACTTTTGATAATCGAGTTGCAAGTTTCAAGGTTCGTTCAATGTCAAGGTTGCCGTGGAGGACGCCATGTTTGATTTGAGTGTGTTTGTGTCACAACCTCTGATTGAGCGCTGCTGTTCGGTAAAGGCGGATAACGTAGCTAGCCCTTAATTTCATTTCCCTTTAATATATACAACCCGGGCCATGTATGTAGACGTTATTAAAAGGTTATTTAATGCCCTCGTCAGACCGGGGTGGCGCCCTAGGTGCGCTGCTGCGAACGCACAAGATCGCCGGCAAACGTGAATACAACGCGAGAAAATGTTCCCAAAAATTAGAAACTTGCAAAAGGTCATATACAGCCTTCCAGGTCGATCGCAGAACCTTGACGTTTGTTTTGAAATTGCTCAAAACAAACGCCGTAGCTCGGCGATCATTGGCGACCATGGAGACCACAGCACGATATTTGGCACTCTTGGACCATTTTACGTCGCCGTGTAACAGCGCAGTAAGGACGTCACCCCGGTCTGACGGGGCTATAAAATATACCAAACAGCAAAAAAAAAAAAAAAAAAAACAATAAAAAAACGTCAGTACGATTTCAAAGTCAGACATGCACTTTAATCAAATCATTCTAGAAAATGACTTACTAAATGGATCAAAGCAATTTTTTGTGAACAGTATGTTGACACATTAGTCTATGCATCAGTATCTTATGTGTCCCTCGCGAGGGTCAATAACAGCAGCACAGCGTCTGTACATGAAGTGGACCAGACGATGGATGAACGCCATTGACACCTGGAACCACACTCCCAGAAAAAACATGGCGCAATCCGTCGGCTGTGTTTGGTCTCGGTACGACGTTATTGATTCTCCTCTGAATTTCATCCCAAAAATGTTTAAGTCCGGACCAAGGGCTGACCAGTGCATAACGTTGACACTGTTCTGCTGTAGACAGTCCCGAGTAACTCTGGCGGTGTCGGCACTGGTTTTTCGATGGCGTGCGAAATGTGGTATGACATGGGGTCTGAGAGCTTGATCGATGTAGCGCACTGCTGTGATGCCCCCTCCTCTCCCTGGACAAAGATTTTGGAACACCACAGGACCCACTCTCTGGTTCAGGCCAATTCCGCCCCAAAACATTATGCTTGTATCTCCCCATGAGTCTCGTTCCATGACACATTAGTCAGAATAATGCTGGCCACGTCGACGCCATATTCTGGTCCTGCCGACGCTCATCTGTGAACAGAACAGTTCTCCATTGCCTGTGTCGCCAGTATAACATAATTTCGAGTTAACAGAAGTAGAACAAGATCTGGATTCAACATTAATTTATATACTATAGTATTAAAATGCTATAAATAGAGAGACCCTTCTCTGGTGAGCTTCCAATCTCCACTGATTTGTAGCAAAAACCTCAGCTAATTTATAGTAAATTCAAATGTGGTATAAAGTTAATTAAGTATACGTATACATATATTATTGATATTGAATAAAAGAACTACACGATGAATCAGCTGTCATTGATAGATTATCTCACTATAATCATATTGATGTTGGTGACAGCTGAACACTAGTGAATGTAATTAGCGGTCAGCGGATTCTCTAACTTGTCCTTTTCTATATGACACTAGCTTGACCATTGTGAAATGCAAAACAATTTTGTGGTCAAAGGGAACAGCGGGGATTGTATTGTATTACACATGCTACTGTGTCTCACACTATGTAACACCAGTTCTGGTGTTGATGGGCAAGCTGTAGATGTTCACATCGATGGCGAGGGGTGGGGAGGTCCAAGGTAGGGTCTATGGCAATGGGAGTGCATTTGACAGGTTTGGTCCCGGTGAACAGCACGTGCAGCATGAGTTACATGAAAATCAAGTTGCCATTTTGAGAACATTTTCTGGGTTCAATTCGGTGTTTGGGAAGGAGCCTTATTGCTCAGGTAAACTCAGGTAGTCACAAATATACAATAAAAACATTTGGCAAGTTTTATGCGATCCGTCTATTCAGAGTAACATACCAACTTGACGTTTCTTTTGCTGCTTAGTATACATGAACAACGTAAATGAAATAAAATGAAATGGAGTTTAACGTCCTACTGTTCTGCTCCTAACCTGGGCTAATGAAGACGGATGAACAACGTAATAAATTGTATATAATGAATAAAGCCAAGATATATCTTATTCAATGTTTTATTGAATTAGAATATAAAAGGAAAACAAATTAACACTCCGTGTGAGATATAAAATAAAATTGAAATTATTATTGTATTATTAAACATTGATCATTCCTATTCTGTTCTGTAATCGTAAACAACGCAAAAGAAACGATTATTGTATTATAAAAGAAAATGTAGGCCTTAGGCCTTGGACCACTGCCATTATTAGCCGAGACAAACAGAAAAGTAAGACGTTAAATCCCATTTCATTTTATTTATTGACCGTGAGACGCATCGTGTACAATACACCACGTGTATCTTCTACCACCAGTTATATATGCGATGTATCTATTATTGACCGTAAGACGCAACGCAGAACCCTTATTGCGTACAATACACCACGTGTATCTTCTACCACCAGTTATACATGTCATGTATCTATTATTAACCGTAAGACGCAACGTGTAACCCTTACTGCGTATAATACACCACGTGTATCAGCCACTAAAAGTTATACATGCGATGTATCTATTATTGACCGTAAGACGCAAAGCATAACCCTTACTGCGTACAATACACCACGTGTATCTTTTACCACCAGTTATACATGCCATGTTTCTATTATTGACCGTAAGACGCCACGTTTAGCCCCTACCGCGTTCAATACACCACGTGTACCACCTATCACCATTTATACATGCTATGTATAACTTTTGGTAAACGTAAATTCCTGGTCCGTATCGCGTATCCGTAAGCTGTATTTCTCACACGTGATACAGCACATGGATACGGCAGCATGTATCGAACAGCTTTCATACGGAAAAGGTCCGTATAACTTTCGTCGTCTTTTTTTCGGTATTTTGTTGCTACTTTAGGACGCTGAAATGTTGTGCTTTGAATCTATGTGTATCCTAGAACACAAAGGTGTATATTTGATGTGATTTTAACCATGATAAAGACTGGAATTTAATCATTGTTTTTGATTAGCTTTACGCGAAATTTTCACATTTTTCCTGTCTGCCTGTCTTCATGCTGGTTGATCTACGTGCTAAACTTAGGGAAGTGGGACCGTGCAATCTGTAAAAGGGGGTATATACTTTCTGAAATGATACATTAGTGAAACCAAAAATTGCTGTTGAAGTCGAAGATTTTTAATAAAATTCGACACTAAATTTTTTAAAATTTTTAAATAGCTCAGCAACTGTTGAGCGACTTTGCTCCCTTCAGGAATTTGTAGGCCAGGCACTTGACTTGTAGTGATGTTGATCTTAGTAGATAACTGCTCGGCTACTCATACGTACGCGGCGCGAAAATCTGTCAAAACTCTAAAACTACATTGACGCAACAGATCACGTGACGATACGGATACGTGATACGGATGGAAAAAATTCCGCTTGCCAAAAGTCTCTATTGACCGTAAAACGCAACGTGACTAGGGGTGGTTGATAATTTTACTTTCGATCGAGGACACCTTAGAAACATGAGGCCCACTATACTGATTATTTAACAAAATTTTTTGGGGGATCGGACCCCTCTAACCCCTTTGTACATGCCCCCCTGAAAGTTCCTATTCCTATGTTCTCTCCCAGAATGCTGTTTTTGGCGTAAAACTCCTCAGAAATATGTCAAAGGTGGCGTGTATGTTTCTTTTTATAGGTTTTTAATGATGCCGAGACTGATTATTGACTACATAATTATTTTCGATATTCCCAAATGGCGAAAATTCAAAATGGCGGCCAAAATAGCCTCCATTTTGCTCGAGCACTTTGTTGATTTCGAATATATGGCTTGTAATATGTCTTTTTATAGGTTTTCGTTGCTACAAAGTCTGAATCGGATCTTGAAAAATAGTTTCGACCATCCAATATGGCAGAAATTCAAGATGGTGGATACAAACATGGCCGCCATTTTGTACAAACTCATACATAATCAGGTGACAACTTGAAAAAAAACCCCTCAAATTTAGAACTTAAAATGCTAATATGATGTCCATGTAATGGTAATGTCTGTATGTTTGTGTCTCTAACTGTGTCTATCAGGGATCACTGTGGCTTTCGTTTTTTTCCGCCAAAATGAATGATAATTTTACTATAAAATAATGTTCATATTTTTTCCGCCAATTGTAATATTTTATCTGCCAAAAATGTGTGATAAAAAGACAACACCTAACAATTTATGTCTCGGCTAGGCTTATTATAAAACAGTAACCGATATATACAATACAATATACAACAGTTTTACATAATAGATTAGCAAAGTTTGGATTTAATAAGATCAGAATTAAGTTTTGGTGACTTTAGTCTATTTGAACACCGTACAGCACAATATATTTTCAATATTTACACGTCAAATATCATTCAGGGATTTCCAATTTTCTATAAATGTATGTGTTGCCTGCAAGATGGGACTATTGTTATTTTCACGTACCGTAAAGATATCAGAATCTGAATCCCTGATAGAATGGTATAAATTTCAATTATATCTGTTAAGAGATGCTTACAATATACCCGTCGTTAACTTTTAAAGCATTTTGACGCTAGTAATATGATACAAATGGCGAACTGTTTTCTTGCTCAAGAATCGTCACTGTTCAACTCGTTCTTACGTTTTCGACCAGTGCTGATATTATAATTTGGAATTATGATATCCGATAGGCATGCTTGTATTTTTTACGTGACGTATATGAAGCCACTGTAAACGAATTCAGCTATCAAAATATTTAATTCTCTTCGCAAGGAACTGTCGGCCATTTTGATTAAATGTACATGTATTATCATTTATTTTAAGACGAAACGAAACATCAATTAATCACCGTTTGGATTAATCATTAGGAGTAAATAATGACTTGACATAGGTTATATATATATATATATATAAATATATATATCATTCACAATTATCAATCAACTAATTATTAATCCAAGACAATTGATTTAGTATTACTCATTGACGCGATCCGGATCATCGGCCGCCAGTTGATTAATTTATAGTACACTGTAAAAAAACTTGTGTTGAAACAACACAAACTTGTGTTGTTTTCAACACAAGTAAGGTGTCTCTATTTAACAACACAAACTTGTGTTGAAACAACACAAAACTTGTGTTAAATGTTGAAACAACACAAAACTTGTGTTAAAATTTATCAAACAACATGTGTTGAAACTTGTGTGAAAATCTACACAATACTTGTGTTGAAATTTTTGAAACTTGTGTTGAAATTTTTGAAACTTGTGTTGAAATTTCTGAAACTTGTGTTAAAATTTCTGAAACTTGTGTTGAAATTTCTGAAACTTGTGTGGTTTCATACAAACATGTGTATAACCATCCACAAAAACTTGTGTTGTGTTTTTCCCCAATTTATATACAGTATAGCAACCTTTTTATGCAGGACCCATCTCTTTGCTCCGTTAGACCTGTAAAGTTTGATAAAAGAAGGAAACAAAATTTTTTTTTGTTTTTGTAAGATTATTATTTATTCATAAAATCATAGGAAAAAGTAAATTAATACATCAAAACTAAATAGATATTTGAAATGTTAACAGAAAAACAGAAAATTCTAATACTAATTATATTGTGTCATATATAATGACCCCCCCCCCCCACCCACACACACACACACACACACACACCCCACTTTACCCATCACAAAATATAACATAGCTATTTAAATTGTTCTTAACCCCACACACTTTACCTATCACAAAATATAAAATAGCTATATAAATTGTTCTTTACCCCAAAACAAGAACTGAGAATATAAAGATATGTACACAGTATCCCTACCCCATACTCCAAAATATATAATTCAAATAATATCTAAATTTAATAACATCCAAACCAAGCACTAAGATTAATTATGCACTAAATTGAAACAATTTCAAAAACTGAAAAGTGCTACAAAATCACACTACAAGTGATTTGTGAGACATATAGAAATAACTAATATACACAGAAAACTAACAAATGAAAAATGCACTATTTTGCAGGAGTAATAAAATGATATAAAACCTTTTCCTCATTAAAAAAACCCCAAACAAAATGAATATTTTGTAAATAAAAGAAGCAAAGCATCAAGATTACAGGATTGAAATAAAAAAATATCATATGTACAACAAATTTATATACAATCACAAGTCATAAGCCACAGTGGTTCAGTGAGTATAAGGTGTTGGCCGAGAAATTTCAACTGGATTTTCCGGCATAGTTCCTACTTGTCAGTAGTGTTGGATATGGCAAGGTATAATTGGGTACAAGCCCGGAATCGAAAGAGAGAGAGAGAGAAATGGGGTTTAACGTCCATTTGACACAAACTAGGTCATTTCGGGATTAACATATGGTTTAATTTTATTTCAATAATTTTTGCGCATAGGGGTCTTTAGCAGTGGGAGGAAACCGGAGGTCCCGGAGAAAACCCACAAGATTGGACAGGCGACCCTACTCCTTGTCACGTACAACCGGGGATTCGAAACCACACCAGTTGACTCAATGACAGGCCGTATGATACCGTACGCACGTGCTTACCATTCGGCCATCCACCACCCCCTCCCCCATTTCCGGAATCGAAACCATCCCCACTGCGTTCACTTAGAAGAACCCTTGACAATTGAATTATTTGACTCAATGACAGACTTCCTGATCAAATGTGTGCGTGTTAATCATTGCCTCCCCCCCCCCCCCGGGTTCCCGTTAAAGAACCCTTGACAGTTGAAATATTTGATATAAGAGTAGGGTGTAGGGCAGAATCACTCTAAGAACACAGAAAAGTAGGATACTAAACCGTATTTCATTTCATAAGCAAGGGAAAGTCACCTTTATGTAGGTCAAGTTTTTTTGTAATTCTGGATGTATTTGATCTACATTTGGTTTCTAGTAATGCCTATTAAATACTTTATGATTTCTGACCAAATTCTAAGTGATTTATATGTCACTTTACTTGCTATATTATACATACATTTCTGAAGAGAATTAAAATCTAATTGTGTTTTGGAAGAAAATTTAACATTAATAACAAAAAATAAATATTTAAAAATTGGGTCAAATGCATTCTTTCCCAGAAGTATAAAATAAATTGATGCTTGGGTTTTCTTGTTGTTATCATACAGCAAATACTGTTTCAATGGTGTTCCAGCCTAAAAAATAAAAAGTAGGCAATAAGAATACTTTCTATGGTTCACAACGTTTAAATAAACAATTTATTTTGCCACATCGAGACCGAGTCTCTATTTGGTTTCAACTTTGCGTAACGCTTATTGTGTCTTGTCCAGTTACAGACCCAGGCAGATTATTATGCTCAAATCAAATGAGTTAGAAGTCAGAAAAAAGTCTTGAGATTTGGGACTGAAGTCTCATAATAGGTCAACTATTCACCCTTTCATACATGTATTGTCTGCAAATCCAGATTCCCTACTACATCATGGCAGCACCTATTTACTTGGCAATGTCTAATGATTTTTGGACCCATTCTTATTTTATTTCCATTGACAACAAATTGGATATTACCCTTTAAAATCTATTGAAATCTATTTGAAAGCAAAAATCAAGCATGCCAAGTACTTGAAACAGCAGAGTCCTAGGCATTGCCCCAAGAAGAATAACTAGATTACCAAGCAAGTGTATAGAAGTACTTCCTGATTAAAAATACAAATATATATGTTACTTACATTTTGCATGTTTTCCCCATGTCAGTGATACAGGACGGAGGACCTGACAAGGACAGCTGTCTAGTCGTTTGGATGGGACGAAAAACCGAGGTCCCGTGTACACATTGGCGTGCACGTAAAAGATTCCTTGGCAATTGGAATTCGATATAAGAGTAGGCTGTAGCGCCGCTGCCCGCGCAAAATTCCCTTCATAGCACACTGTATGGCGTATGCCCGTCTTCATTAGCCCAATTTATGAGCAAAACAGTAGGATGTTAAACCCCATTTCATTTCATTTTCAAAATTATAAAATAATTTGATGGCTTAATATTCAAAAGGTACAGTCCTTCATGTTTATAAAATTGTACGGGAGCCATAAAAAGCTCCTGATACCTTGAATATATGCAGTTTAAAAGTAAACAAAAATCTCAATATTTAGGAGAGAGAGAGAGAAATGGGGTTTAACGTCCATCCACCCCCCCCCCACCAAGTGTATAGAACCAGTTCCTGATTTAAAAAGCAAATATGCATGGTACTTACATAGTCTTTGTCTGATAAGCAAGATCTGTGAGAAAACGTCTCCACAATATCAATAGCCCTTTCCAACTTGATCTTCCGAGGTGGGTAACTGAAAAAAAAAATGGCAATGTATTAGTTGGCTTAAATTGACTAGACAGTTTTGATTAATTAAAAAAATGTTAATTTAATTACATTTGTTTTGTTTCATGTGTTGGTTTGCTTTGCCACAGATGAGACAGTGATATCTACATATAACTAAGATTCTGTCTCTGCTCATACATGACGAGTACAGTTTTACTATACTAAACTGAATTTTAGATTTCAAAATAGCATAACAATCTTTTCTATTAGAATTGAATAGTTACCCACCAAGAAAAAGTTGCTCTATCATCATTTTTTCCAGCCATTTCTTCTTCCATTTTTTTCTTTTATAATTTCTTTTGTTATTACATGATCTTTTTCTGGGTGATTTGCATATACATCCAATATTGAAACTGAAAAAATAAATACATGATATGTAATTTACGATTAAAGCTACCTTACCATATATACAAACTGTGTGATATGAAATTGAAACTAATGTATCAATATGTATCAAAAGTTTTCATCCCAAGGAACTACCTAAGCCGTAAAAGTTTATCTTAATAATCCTTGTTTGTCACATGGTTTAACTGTCGCAGTAATTAGAAGACGGCCATGGTGACTGAGTAAATTAGGTGCTGGCACACTAGCATGGAGGCCACAGGTTATCTCTTGGGGTTGACCGAGAAAGCTCATCTTGATTTTGCAGAGTGGTTTCCCCTGAGATTCAATGTACACATTGGCGTACACATAAAAGTTCTCTTGGCAGTTTGAATTCGGTATGAGAGTAGGCCATAGTGTCGCTGCCCAGACAAACATTTTCACTTAGCACAATGCATTAGACCAGTCGGAGCTGACCAGTAGGACGTTGTCTTTAAACCCCATTTCATTTCAGGTAATCTAGTATTTTTCTAGTAAGATTGAAGTCTCTCTACTTTCTTTATATGTAAATATCATATTTGAAATAAGTCATACTTTTATTCGATATGGGGTGGGGCTGGGGGGAATGGTCTAGTAGGTAATGCATGCGCATGAAATCACAATTTCAAGGAGTAGAGTCGCCTGTCCAATCTCTTGAGTTTTTTCGCTGGGTCATTCGGTTTCCTCCGTTTTCTAAATACATGTACCCCTACGCCAAGCGAATTATTCATATTAAATTGAAGCATACCTTCTCTAATCTCTGGGTCCTTTTGTTTCCTCCTTTTGCTAAATACACATACCCGCAAGCGAATTATTCATATTAAATTTAACCTTACCTGTCCTTTTTCCCGAAACGACCTAGCGTCTGTAGGCTAAGTAGATATAAGGACCCATCTTGCAACAACTCTACATGTAGGTTCGTGCATAATTAATATTACAGTAACATACCAATTTTTAATACATGTAGAATGAGACAGTGTGCAGGGAAAGGGTGGAAACGGAAGTAGGCTAATCCTCGTCGTAGTTGATTACCGGTATGCATATAGGCACAGCATGGACTACTTGATTCTTCAAATACAAGTACATGTAAGGCCTTGTTTATGTCATCTCTCTCTCTCTCTCTCTCTCTCTCTCTCTCTCTCTCTCTGTTGCATGTAAGTGCCATATAAATACTTTATTTTGGATTGTATGTTCACATACACTAATCATTGTAGGACATTGGTAAAAAAAAAATAGAAAATATAAAAATTAATTGAAATTTTTACCTGTTTTTCTTCGATTCAATGCCAATGGAGTCCTTGGTAAATTCTCAATAATTATTGCTGGAAGGTGGAAAGAGTCACATATCATCATTGACTGGAAAAAATAATAAAACTATAGAGAAACTTCCACAGGCTGATTCTAGTTCCATTATTTATTAACTGTGACTGAATCAGGCAAAAATGGGGCCTAATATTAAATATTACACAGACTCACAGATGTTGAACAACGGATTACATGTCATTTGGGACTCGCGTCATTTGGGACTCAAAAAAATATGACCACGACATTTGGGACTCGGGTATACGACGTTTGGGACTTTGGTATACGTCGTTTGGGACTCGGGTTAACGACATTTGGGACTCGGGATAATTTATTAGAAATAGGCCAATTCAAAACACGAAAGAAAATATTTATTAACATGAAACACGTGGTTAGTAAAAGGCTCAACCAAACGATAAAACATTAGTTGCACTTACGGTTCTTTGATAATCATCGTTTCTCATAAAAGATTTATATTTATTTAAAACGAATAATATGCTGATGAATTTATTTGAAAATGACCTACACAAAAAACAAAATAAATATTTACACGACATGCAATCTTTTTTTACAAGCCCCTAGAAATTGTTAACGATAATCCGTGAGCTGCACGTTGACATGCTTGTCGTAGATGGCAATACCAATTGATAAATTAGTGCGTACAAGGCAAAGTTTTTTTGTGGAAAATATAAGAAATGGCAACGAACAAAGCGGGATAATTAAAGCTGATTAACTGATAATCCCAATGTTATTACAGTATATTCAAAGAAACCTAACGGTTCTTTGGTGGATGAGGAAAAACGTGAGTTGTCAATCATCGAGAATGGCGGCCGTGTGTTGATTGCAGTTATACCGTTTCACGAAAAAACATTAGCAGTGGTCGGTCAATCAAGCTCGTTTACTATTTATAACGCAAATTTTTCGATTCGGTTAAAAGAAAATATACGTCCATTTTAATTGGCCGAAGGATGTGTGACTAATAGAAATATGGCGAGCGGACAAACTGACCAAACAGTATATTTCGAGGTATTTGAGGTAAGCTAATTTAATATTATATCATTACTGCATGTGCATACTTGTGTTTCTGTGTGATTAAATATTCAAAAAATCATTCTTAGGATACAGCCTCGACACCAGTCCGCCTTAAATTGCAATGTTTGTTTTGTTTTCTGTGCGCCATTTTGAAAAAAACTGACATGACCTATATAATACAATCCAGCGATAGTGCAGTCAATTTCCTTTAAAAGGGAATCCGAATTTGTTAATTTTCTGCAATATCACTTCGGTGGTAGCGGACGTTAAATAAAGCTATTTCACGTACAAAGACCTACAATAAAATCCAGGTGAATTGGGAAAAATATTCATGTATTTTCTTGATGAAGAGTAGCTATTTCAATTTGTAAATGCCCAGTCATCTTAGACAAATAATAATTCCAACTTCAAATCAGTTGTATTTATTCAAATCATACTATGAATAATTGTATTTTTCCACTTGCATAATAATAAAAACTTGACTTTTATTATTTTATTTCTTCAGGCCAAGAACATGGAAAATTGGTAATTGCCTTGTATCACTGCTAACTATAAGGCACAGGGAGCCTTGGGCAGAAATGATAATAATATGGTTCTCAGATATGTTACTGTGTACAGACTGAACAAAAAATATATATACACTTGCTATTACATGTACATTATATTATTGGCAATAATAAGATCCAATTTTAGTTTTTAGTTACACACTGTTAACCACCAATAGATGACAATAAATCATAAAATGTATTCAGCTCGACGTAAGACTTAAATAAATAGATACAGTTGGTTTAACTTGAATAGAAGTTTTGATAATCTATGCTGCATATATGCATATATCACCTTACAGCTGAATCACATTACATATCTTTTTAGTTGATGTTCATATCGTCTTACGTATTTGTCAACATCAATGTGACCTTGTTCTATGTCACATTAGCCTTTTCACGAATTTACTCACCACACCCTCGCATAGTTATGAATTTATTGTTTCACTTGACTAAAGAAACATTTTGTAGGAATGTATGCTTTTATAGATTGGACACTTGTTTGCAATATCATTGTCGGTGGAAACTGGCACTATACCTAAAGAATGACTGAACAAATAGCGGAGACGGGGTTTCAGCCGGCTGATTTAAATTATTTCTTTAAATACAGTAAAGCTTGAAATATGTCAGTTTTCACTCTTTAGAATGTTTTTGTAAATAAGTTTTTATTGTAGTTTCCGTGGCGTATTCCCAATAAGCGTTAGAAACAAAGATATACACCCTTAATCCTGGTGCCGATAAATGTTGGGTTGTGTGGAACATGCTAACAAATCTCGGGTACGATATATGTTTGATTCTGGTTCAGAACAGCATGAGAGCAACATGAATGTTTTCATTGGAGATGAGACGCAAATATTCAAAGGGGTCAGACAAACTCATGTAATAAATTCTTATATACATGGGTATTTAATTGCATGAATACTTACGCTTGACGACACGTCAGTGGGATCTTTTGGTCGCAGAGTCTGTCGGGTTCTTTGTAGCGACCTTACAAGTGCTGCCATGGGTGGTCTGCTATGAATGGGTTCTTCTGCAGAACCGACACTGGATAAAACTCTCTCCGCTATTGAGGAACATGACTTGGTAAAAACATTTCCTTTGGCTTCATGCTTTGCCTGTAATGATAAGATAAAACATATTAAACTACAAATATATTATTGGTTTATTTATATTTTATTTATTTACACACATATATAAATTTTTAATTTAATTGATATATAATTTTTAAACCTACTGTAACTTTTATCTTGGTAGCCGTGTGTATACCGGGTTCTGCTGGGTGAAGATGGAACACCTCCAAATCGTAGTTGTCTTCTCTGTCTAAAAGATATTAAATTCATTTATTATTATAGAGTTAACTAGGTTAACTAGAGTTAATTATCTTTACATTTTGTAGCTGAAATACATTTCTATACAAGGTAGTTGTAAAATAAATCACCCTACCTTAATTGTATAACTAAACCCTTGGTTGTCAAACAACTTGGACTTGCCACGGGAGGAACCAGCTTCTACCTGCGTATACACCACTACGGGTTCTTCGTCGCAGAAGACACTAACGTCGGCATCGTCTGAGATGGAGGACTCCATGACCGGAACTGGCACATCGTATCGGGTTTCGGCTGTAAACGATTCTTCTACTTCCATAGGTTCAGTTGTTGGGACCTCCATAACTTCTTCTTGTTGTTCGTCCATATCTTCCGTCTGCTTATTAGATTTAAGGTTGTTTTTTTAAACATAAATTAGATTACAATTCAACTAACACAAAAGTGTAAAAAGATTTTTTTCTAGTCTGTGCCCGCGTTTATGTCTACTCTTGGCAAAATCGTTATAATATAAAAAAATCATGAAACAAGAATCAAAATGGCCGCCAATCGGGTCTCCAACGCCAATCCAACCTCCCAAGATATAATTTCAAAACAGATTCTTACCTGCTGGTTCAAGTCGAGCCGTTTCTGCTTTAATCATAATGTGATTCTGTAATGTAAGTATTTGAACAACATCGTAGCGCCGAACAACTAATGTTAATTAAGCATGATTTCAGAAAAATTGAACAGATTTGATAATAACATGCCGAAATTTTTTTCCTGACCGCGCCATATTATAAACATGAACTTCCGGTTTAAATTGTTGGAGTTTTTTTTAAGGAACAAAATACTAACATTATACAGAGAAACAATATCGATGCTAAATTACATACATGGTATTATTTTTTTTATATAAATATTCATAAACCTGCGGTCTTGTATTCTATGTGACCATTAGCTTACATTTGTCAAACATATCACTGCTCCAAAATCATTTCAGCACGTTGTTAAATGTTAAATTAATTGTGTGAAATCACTTCATTTAATGTCCGCTTCCACCGAGATGATATCGCAGACAAAATGTAGCCTATAGTACGTTGATTTTATCAACCAATCACATTCAATAACAGTTTTACTTATTTTCTTGTCAACGCATTTGTAGTCAATTGTTAAAATCACACCGGGCATGAGCGCTCAACAGGCCTTTGATCTACCAGTTTATTGGGCCCAACTTTATTTTAACTACAGACATCTTAACACCAATTAGCATTCAAGTCTGTCTGGCTATATTGTCTGAGTAAAAAATACCTTTCTCTTACTTGTGGACCCCGGATTAAGACTTTGTATGGAGTTCAAATTTTAAAAAAAAAATATTTGTTGACGGTACACATTACTTGTGTTAATTATATGGAAAAAACACAAGATTTGTGTTAATGCATTAAAAAGAACACAAGTTTGTGTTAATGCAATGCAAAACAACACATAACTTGTGTAGAATAATTTTCACACAAGTACTTGTGTTGAGATCCAACACAAGTTTTTTTTCAGTGTATCCCGCCACGTGATTGACACTCAATAATGGTTAATCCAGGATAAATACGATTAGAATTTTAAGATTTTTCCCACCAGTTCTCAAAAAGAATCGCCAATACCGCAAAACATTATCGCCAACATTATTGCCAAAATCAAATTTTAATCGCCACTTTCATATTTTTATCGCAAATTGCGACTTTGGCGACCGACAGTGTGAGAGCCCTGGTGTCTGTCATGTAATTAGATTAACTAGATGTATGCACTACAGTTGTCTCATCCCATGTACGATTCGCACATTAACATTGGCGTAACATTTGTGTACTTCAAATGTTGTTATCGTAGTGTACTAGTGATGTTGTCCTATGTGTAACCTCCAAAATGTACAGCTTATCAATAACACCAACTCAGTCTTCAGCCAGGAAAGATCTGGCAGACATCCAGTATGTGGAAACTGCAGGCTTTTCAAGTGGAATATTGCCAACCAAATTGATGGTCATCGAGAATATGATGTACCTACTTAGACCGACTAAGATGAAGATGATGTGAAACTATCCCAAAGTGATATCTGTCTGGGATCCAATTTGCGTCGTTTTTTATTGGAAAATGTAGGCTCATCTTAACCTAGTGGCTCATAATCGATATTACTTCGGGATAGTTTCACATCATCTTCATCTCAAAGAGTACTAAAGTCTACTGCTAACTCAGGCTGTTTTTCTGCTTCTACTTTAGCTCTCATTTTCTCCAAGGACTGCATATCATGATATCGTCTTTCCATTGTCTTTGCCCATTTTTTGTCGACGAAACTTTCGCAAAACATTTTTTGGCTGATTGCGCTGATCTTGTAGGAATTCCCATTCGTTTTCGGTCATCTTGACACCATACACTACTTCTAAACACTTTCTAACATCCTCATCCTCACAAATAGACTTGTTAAATGTTCTTGTAATATTTCTGATAGAATAGATGCGGCAGTCCTTACTTCTCTGATCTAGTTGGTCTAAGTAGGTACATCATATTCTCGATGACCATCAATTTGGTTGTTAACATTCCACTTGAAAATCCTGCAGTTTCCACATACTGGATGTCTGCCAGATCTTTCCTGGCTGAAGATCGCGTTGGTGTTTTTGATACGCTGTACATGTTAGAGGTTACACTACGATAACAACATCCTAAAGTACACAAAATTAATGTTACGCCAACGCCAATGTGCGAATCGTGCATGGGATGAGACAACTGCAGTGCATACATCTAAGACGCAACGCATAACCCTTACTGCGTACAATACACCACGTGTATCTTCTACCTCCAGGTATACATGTCATGTATCTATTATTGACCGTAAGACGCAACGTGTATCAGTTTCGTCCAGTTATACATGCCATTGCCATGTATCTATTATTGACCGTAAGACACCACGTTTACCCCCTACCGCGTTCAATACACCACGTGGATCTTCTACCACCAGTACATACCATATGTATCTATTATTGACCGTAAGACGCAACGTGTAACTTTTATTGCGTACAGTACACCACTGACAGTTTGAAAGAAAGGCTTCAAAATAAAAAAAAAATCTATTTAAGGAAAGATTTTCATTCAAGATCCTGCACAAAAATAGACTTGCACTAAAGCATATATTAAAAACTGAATATAATGATCGCCTTTCAAATAGTAATTTGATACTGTCCTCTTTCAAAAGCTTTGAAAATAAAATCTATTTAAGGAAAGGCGGTCATGCAAGATCATAAACAAATATAATATACCTGCATTAAAATACATGTTAACAAAGAAAAATACAGGACAACATTGCCTTACGTTCTTAGTCATATGAAAATAAGTGGGGTTGAATGGCCGAATGGTTAGCGTTTGTGCGCTATATCACAAGTTCTGTCATTGAGACAACTGACGGGATTTCGACAAGGAGTTGGGTCGGCTGTCCAACCCCGTGGGGTTTTTCCGGGTCCTCCGGTTTCCTCCCACTGCTAAAGACCCCTAGTTTGTGTCGAGTGGGCGTCAAACCCCATTTCACTTTCTGTCTGTCTCTCCCTTTGTCTCTCTCTCTCTCTTCTCTCTCTCATATGTTAGGCCCGAAATGATCTAGTGTGGACGTTAAACCCATCTCTCTCTCCCTCTCTCTTTCTCTCTGTCTCTCGTATGAAAAAACATATATACCGGCACTAAAATACATGTTAACAAATACAGGATGCCGTTGGCTTACCTTCTTCGCCATATGGGAGTCACGGTGGCTAAGTGGGTAAGACGCTGGTTCGCTAGTCTGGAGATCGAGAAAGTTCAGTGATGCAGAAAGGAGGGCCTGACAAGGACAGCTGACTAGTGTTCGGATATGACGAAAAACCGAGGTCCCGTGTCATAAGACAATCTGTTTAAAATACAGATGTATATTTCGTTTTTTTTATATACACATAAAGATCGGACAAGTTGTAGTGATAGGTCAATGACAGATCTTATGACACAGCGCGCATGCGCAAACCATTCCGCCATCCAACTCCCCTTTAGTGAAAACAATTAAAACGAAATTTTGAACTACAAATAAAAAAAATCAGATTGAGTCATGAGGTAGATTAAAATTCTTTATTTAAAAAAAAAACGTGAAAAGGAGGCCAAGTTTCAATGAGTTAGAATAAATGTACTTACTAGTTCGTTCCGCATGACTGTCGTTCGTGTCCTATATCTCTTTGTCGGGATAATTGAAATTTTGACAAAGTGGCGCAATACCAACAGAGAAAACAAAATATACGGTCAATGTGACCTTATTGCTTTCATAACAAAATATAAGTGCAATGATAAACAGAGGACACCAGTAAGATAAACAAACGGATATACCGTCCTGCATTGAAAGTTACTTAGGCGGAACAATTTTCTGTAGGTAGGCATAGATAGGAAAGAAAAGAAATATGAAGTTATGTTGAAGGATTATGTTTCTACGTACACGGTAAACATTAAATGGAATACGTCGGTCATAGTAAGATACATACGATAATGTCTTCCTATATATGGTTACATGCGCCATACGAAGTAAACGAATCTTACCCGAAAATCCTTCTCCAATATTATTTATCCAATAAAACTAAAACACTTACGTTCACCATTAGAACATGAACACGTATTTATTATCCTACTTTCGGCAACAACCTAGTGTAGTATTATAATTGATTTTACGGGCGGGGAGAGAGAGACAGAGAGAGAGAGAGAGAGAGAGAGAGAGAGGGGGAACGGGGTTTAACGTCCAATTGACACAAACTAGGTCATTTTGGGACTTAACACATGATTCAAGAGAGAGAGAGAGAGAGGAACGGGGTTTAACGTCCACTTGACACAAACTAGGTCATTTTGGGACTTAACACATGATTCAATTTTATTTCAATAATTCGCTTGTGCGTAGTTGTATTAAGCAATTAGAGGAAACCGGGGGACCCGGAGAAAACCCCACTCCTTGTCACGCACAACAGGGGAATCGAAACCACGCTAGTTGGATTTTGCTTATGTACCCTCTAGAGGTCACAATTTTGATCAAATTTTAAAAATCAAATATATCATCGTTATACCCTGACGATGATTGGGTTTGAATTTCGTAAAAATTGGACCAAAACTGCCCGTCAAAGTGGCCGCTCCTTTAACACAAATCATTTAAAAGTATGCAGTACCAAGCTTGTGAACCCGCTAGAGGTAAAAGTTTTGGTCCGATTTTGATGAAACTTAAAATATATGTTTATATCCCAAAGATATCATATTCGCACATATCAGACCATATCGTCCTGGATTATGGCCCTTGATTCTACGAAAAATCACATTTTTTGCTTGTGGATTCCTATAGAGGTCACAGTTTTTATCCGATTTCAGATACAGTTTAAATGTATCACCGTTGCACCATATTGAAGGCTGATTCGAGTTCCCATTTCGGGAAAATTGTGTAAAAGTGTGTAATACGAAGGTCACAATTGTTGTCCGATTGTGATGAAAATTAAACTCTATCTCTATATACCCAAGGATCTCAGTTCCATTCATTATTCGCTCATTTCAGATCATAACTTCCTGGATTATAGCCAATGCTTGTACGAAAATCACGTTTTTCTAGCTTGTTCTCCATCCATCTCTTGCAAAATATGGGCGTATCGTGCCTGGCAACCGCTGGTTATTACATGATTTCAAACTTTTTCAAAATTAAATCAGCACATTATTATAAGCGATTATAATACATACCATTCGTTAATTGAACAACCATTACTACTCATGAACAATAAACGCGGAACTGGTTTCCTTAAACTAAATACATATATAGGAATATATAAAACTTATTAAAGAAATAACAGCCAATGGGAGAATTAATAATTAGAATGCAAAGCGCATTTTGTATGAAACGGAATGAAATGGAAATTAGTGCAATTAAAAGAATCTGAAGAAAGATTAGTACGTCTGCAAAACATACACCTATTAGTGATGACGATTGATAAAAAACAAAATCGGAGAAGAAATACGAGACATTGGGAAATTAAAAAATTAAACTGCAAAGCGCATTTTTTATGAAACGAAATCAAATGGAAATTAGTGCGTGCAATTAAAAGAATCTAAAGAAAGATTAGAACGCCTGCAAAACATACACCTATTAGCGATGACGATTGAAAAAAAAAAAACCCAAAAACAACGGACATTTTTATTATTAAAGTTGCATTATGTAGGAGTTAAATCTGATTACTGCTGCCTTCAAATGTTATATTTTTTAGACATTTATTAACATAACATACCTATAATCAACTCTCTAGACCATCGCATTTAAATGGATTAGAACGCTCGCGAGATTTATGAAAAATTAACAAAAACTGGATAATCGAGACTTAGTATGGGTTGTCCAGTTCCCTAGCTAAACAATCTCTGTTACATCTTCCAACACTTATAACTTCGCTCAGAATAAAGTCATTTGAATGAAATTTTCAATATATTCATTTTTCATTATCTATTTTTAAACTATTATAGCGAGAACGGCCAGCTCTTTATTTAATTCTTACATAATGCATCTTTAACGTGAAAAAGGTTGAAGGAGTCGTGATGGGTGCGAAAGCTAGATGAATAAGTGATATGAAATGAAATGAAATGAAGTGAAATGGGGTTTAATGTCCTACTGCTCTGTTTCGACTGGGCTACTGAAGACGGGCATACGTCGTACAATGTGCTATGAGGGAAATTGTGCCCAGGCAGCGGCGCTATGACCTACTCTTATATCAAATTCTAACTGCCAATGGATCTTTGATGTGCACGCCAATGTGTACACAGGACCTCGGGTTTTCGTCCCACCCGAACGACTAGACAACTGTGTTTTGTCAGACTCTCCGTCCTGCACCATTGATGAATAAGTGAAGTCGAAAAGACTAAAATAACCTTAGAGAGAGAGAGAGAGAGAGAGAGAGAGAGAGAGAGAAATGGGGTTTAACGTCCACTCGACACAACTGGGTAATTTCGGGACTAACATAAGGTTCAATTTTCAACAATTCGCTTGCGCGTAGGGGCCTTTAGCAGTGGGAGGAAACCGGAGAACCCGGAGAAAACCCACGAGGATGGACAGGCGACCCTGCCCCTTGTCACGTACAACTGGGGAATCGAAACCACGCCAGTTGACTCAATGACAGACCTTATGATACAGCGCGCGCGTGCTAACCATTCGGCCACCCAACCCCCCTAAAAAAACCTTAGAAAAACACCATTCAGCCAAGCACAACAAATCTAGAAGCCGTTCATTATATAAAACACAAATTTATATGGAAAGCAATCACGGGGTTTATTTCACACTACGTTTCAACAAGTTCCTCTTGTCGTTCTCAAGTATGACAGTATAATAGCAAGAAATCAAATTATATACAACAAGGTAACAAAAAAACAATAACTAATATGAAACCATCAAAAGGCTAATAAAAAGTACAATAATAACATTACCAAATAAACATAGAGGAAATTAATTAAAGAATTAATTAAAAATTACTATGTGAATCCATCACATGTGAAGCCGTTCATTGAAATGAGAAAATAAACACATAATAAGTCCGAACACATTTAAAATGACGTAAATCAATTTTATCAATATAAAATGGGGATTAATGTCTTACCTTTCAGTACCGACAGTGCTAATGAAGACGGAAAATTTTAACAAAATCTTTATACTTGAGGCGTTTTTGTGAACCGATTAGATTAGACCGATTAGCTATTATACGCATTTGTGAACCAAGTTGATTATGCTAATCGTTACGTTTGTGAGACGATTTAACTCAACTGATTAGGCAAATCGACCTAATCGTCCCAGGAGGTGTTTAGGCGATTCGATTTGATGTTTTCAAAAAGGCGGAATGTTCGACATCGTAAGTAATTTTTAATGCTTATTGTTGTTTTTCTCCATAAAAAAAAGTTTTTTTAAAACGCATTTGATGTGTTTAATGTTAACTTTTTAGTCCACAAGAATGTTAGATCACCTCTGACTCTAAGCAATTTTAGGCCCTCTGGGTTCCAGCAGTGTCACTGTACTCTGTAGGTAACTTGGACTACACTTGAAACATACGCCCGCCTCGTCATATTAGCAGAGACATTTGTTTTTCTGATCGGTGTCCGTGATGGCAGTCATCTTACCAAATCGTAATTATCAAATTTCACATTTGTGGACCATAGCTAATCAAATCGAAATCATACCAAATCGTGCTAGCAAATCAAAACCTAATCTAATCGACTCACAAAAACGCCTTTGAGAAACAATTTAAAATACTGAGTATTTAAAATGTTAAAGGTGATAAATGCATAAACCAACGACTGAATTAATTCACCAAAATATGATATAGATTTATTACATTATTACCAATAAACTAACGACGGACGTAATAGGATTTCTATTTTAAAACCGTTGTACGTTACAGGGAGTAGGGCCGCCTGTCCAACCTCGTGGGTTTGTTTTCTCCGGGTCCTCCGGTTTCCTCCCACTGCTAAAGACCCCTACGCGCAAGCGAATTATGGAAATAAAATTAACCATATGTTAGTCCCGAAATGAACAAGTTTGTGTCGAGTGGACGTTAAACCCCATTTCTCTCTCTCTCTCTCTCTCTCTCTCTCTCTCCCCTATTTTAAAATTCACTAATCGATATGTTACTATATGTTTTATGTCTGATCTCTGTATTGGCCAAACTATTACCATATATTTAATGTAATTCGACCACCACCACCCCACCACACTTTAATATGGTGAACATGGGGTGCTATTCCAAATTAATTATGATATTATTGATTCTCGCATAACGCAGGTAAACTCAATGCGTTTTTTTTTTTTTTTTTTTTTTTGTAAAATGTGCAAGATGTGCTACGAGGTGAATTGTGGCAGGGGAGATAACCACTATACCTCAAGGTGAGAGAGAGAGAGAGAGAGAGAGAGAGAGAGAGAGAGAGAGAGAGATATGGGGTTTAACGTCTGCTGGACACAAACTAGGTCATTTCGGGACTAACACATGGTTCAATTTTATTTCAATAATTAACTTGCGCGTAGGGACCTTTAGCAGTGGGAGAGAATCGGAGGACCGGGAGAAAACCCACGAGGTTGCAATGGCGACCCTACTACTTGTCACGTACAAGCGTGGAATCAAAACTACGCCAGTTGGCATAATGGCAGACCTTTTGATACAGCGCGCATGTGTCTGCCATTGAAAATTTGGTAAAATCTTTAAAGGGAGAGAAATGGGGTTTAACGTCAACAAAAGGTGCAAATAAACAGGTCCGTGTCTCAACCCTGTGCTGTTAGGATAGGTGTTTCACAACGATCTGTATTGGGACCTCTACTTTTTCTTCTATACATTCTTTCGATTGGTCAAATCATAAGAAGACATGGGGTACAAAACCACGGCTTTGCTGATGACACCCAAATATATGATTATTTTCAACAAAACAACTATCTTGCTTCCAAGGATTCTATCAGTAGACTTGAGTCTTGTCTTAATGACATTCGAGGATGGATGACCAGAAATAGGCTAAAACTTAACGATGACAAAATTTCTTATCATATCATCAAAATCACAATCAAGTAAATTGTTTAAAGCGGATTCCATTCAGATCGGTGATTGCTCTATATCTCCCAAGAAGCAGGCTAAAAATCTGGGCTATGTTACTGATGAATTTATGTCCCCAGTTCCCCACATCAATAGTATCTTACGGAAAATGCATCATCAAATGAGAGCTATTTCGAGAATACGCTCTAATCTTAATACTGATGCTTGCCAGAGTGTTGTTAGAACATTAGTAACATCGCACATGGACTATGCAGATTCTCTTCTATTAGGAGCACCAGAAACAGCTTTAAACAGACTAAAAATAGCGCAAAACAATGCTGCACGTCTTATAACTAAAACACGAAAATTTGATCATATATACTATTCAAAAAAAGTAGGGGATATTTGATTTTGGGGGCATAATACTAAAATATGCAAATGACTACGAAAAAAGTCACTCTAGAACCTAACAGAAGAAACATTTCCAGTTACATGTGACGCCCAAACGCACCAATAGCTACCGCATGGAATGCAGGTGATGCTTGGGATCATCATGGGGGTCCAACCCAAGATTTGCACGACTCTGACTTTGAATGTTACAGTCATTGTGGCATTGAATTCCAGGGTGGAAACATCAGTTTAATTGTTTTAGTGACCAGAAAACAAATTTTGATATGCGTCGCCTTACCCAAAATGAAAGGTTACGTGCCCTTGGCATGCTACAGATCGGCACAACAAAGGCGGTTGTGGCGCGGACGATGAATGTTTCTCAGTCTGTCATAAGCAGGCTATGGTCCAGATACCGTGATACACAATCTGTACAGGACAGACCACGCTCAGGTCGACCAAGGGCGACAACTCAAGCCAAGGATCGATTTATCCGTACCTTGGCCTTGAGAAATCGTGTCATCACAGCAAATCAGATCAGCGCTCGTCTTCAAACAAACACTGGTGTGAGAGTGAGTGGCCAGACGATTCGGAATCGACTGCATAGGGGTCACCTTCGCGCCCGACGTCCTCGCGTGATCCCTTGTTTGAGAGATCATCACATTCAGGCAAGACGTCGTTGGTGTAGGGATCGTCAACACTGGGATAATCGACGCTGGAGCAATGTGATGTTTTCAGATGAGTCAAGGTTCACTGTTGATTTTTTGGACAGACGTAGGAGGGTGTGGCGTCGTCGAAACGAGCGCTTCCAAGACGTTAACGTCATCAGACATGATCGATTTGGGGGTGGTTCTGTTATGGTGTGAGGAGGCATCACTGTTGCTGGAAGAACGGCTTTACATGTTGTTGCAGGGCGTGTTACAGGCCAGTACTACCGGGACAACATCTTGGCAGTCAATGTTGTGCCGTTCGCACGACGTCATGGCCGCCGTTTCATCTTCCAGGATGACAACGCAAGATGTCACAGGGCCAGGATCGTTACATCACCACATTACCTTGGCCAGCACTGAGTCCCGACCTCTCCCCCATCGAGCATGTCTGGGACATGCTTGGACAGAGGTTACGTCAACGTCAACAACGTCCTGCCAATGTCCAAGAACTTGCTGCTGCGTTGCAACAGGAATGGGACAATCTGGACCAAAATGACCTTAGACGTCTCATTAGGAGTATGCCACGTCGGATCAATGCTTGTTTGGCAAACAGAGGAGGATTTACCCGTTACTGACTTGGTTGTGATACTGTGGTAACTTTGCTGTTTGACCCCGGGTATCATTTTACCCTTATAATGGTCAGTCTGTGCCTTACTTAGTCTAACGATCATTTGGAATAAATCGATGAATGTGAAGTTCATTTCATTTTGTCATTTGTTTCTTCGTCAGTTTCATTAGGTGACTTTAATAACACTTAAAAATCAAATATCCCCTACTTTTTTTGAATAGTACTTTAGCAGTGGGAGGAAGTCGGAGGACTCGGAGAAAACCCACGACACGCGTTTCGGGCAACCAAATGAAAGATTTGCATAGTCGTTAATATATAGAGCGCTGTTAATTCTCTAGCCTCAGGTAGTTAAATTAGACGTGTATTATTATTTTAAAAACATTTTTTACACTGATGTTCAAGTTTTGTTCAGAATCGATCACGGAAATGACATTTGAACCTTCTATTTGAAGTGAGATGTGAATTGTATTAGCACGGGCCGTGATTCGATATCTGTGTGTACCTTTATCGATTTGATGATGTTCGACATGAACAATAAGCACAACCAGTAATGACATTAAAAGAAAACCGAACATCAGTGTACAAAAGTTCCTAGAAAATATTTCAGGTGTACATTGAGATCAAATTTAACGTAACGAACATTAAACGAATTTGCCAGAACATACTGATGTGGGTATAAGAATCAGACGGATATTTTCCATAAGGTAATCTTTTCAATTTTTATAAACTAATTATCTACAAATTTACCAAAAGTAAGACATTTTTATTCGATTTTTAAATTTATTTCTAAATATAGATAAGTTATCTGTTTATCCCACAGTTCGTAGTTGTAGCTGTCACCAACATTTCTAAAAAATTGAACCAAATCTTGAATTTTGGATTTTTCTTTAACTCGCCTAATATTTGGGTTTCATGATTCAAGCTGACCACATCGTTGTTACCACTAAGCAAAATCTGGAATTCGCGTGCCAAACATTTCTTCTATTCAACACAATTTAGAAATCCTTGCCTAATATTTGAAAATTCACACTTCTAATGTAACTCTAGTAGCTGTCCCAAACATTTCTCTATCATTCCGTACAATCTTACATTCATGTGTTTTATGTGTTTGGGGATTTGTGATATGTACATTAAAATAGTAGTTGACCACAACATTTTTACTATTTCTGTTGTAGCGATATCCAGCCCCTGAGCGACCATGTCAGGCCTATTAGTCTTATCAATAACCCTAACAACGATAATGACAACAGAAACGACGTATTTTATGCAAGTGAGCCTGAATTCTGTGAGGCAGTTGAATTTCACGGATATTTTAAATGTACGGAGTATTCTAGATTGTGCTAGCATCTGTTCAGAGAGTTCAGACTGTGAAATTTTGGCGAATGACAATGACAATTGCTATGTCATAAATTCGTCAACTACTGAAAGAACTGGGGCAACGGAAGTCTCTTCTCTTCATATAAATACTCAACTCATTGGTAAGAATGTTCTTTTTATTTTTATATATTGTTTATCAAATGAATAAATCGCTGGCTCACTCTACAGGAAATGAAATGAATTGGGGTTTAACGTCCTACTGTTCTGCTCCGAGCTGAGCTAATGAAGACGGGCATATGCCATGTTATGAGGGTAAATTTTGCCCGGACATCGGCACTACGGACTACTTATATCCAATTCCAATTGTCAAGGGATCTTTTACGTGCATGCCAATGTGTACACGGGACCTCGATTTTTCGTATTATCCGAACGACTAGACAGCTGACCTTGTCAGGTCCTCCAACCTGCATCACTGACAAGGGGGAACCACGCCGGAAAATCTTGATGAACATTCTTGGCCAATGCAGGGATCGAACACCCGACCTCCAGGCTAGCGAGCCAGCTTCTTCCGGAGTTCGATCTGGTGTCGGCCATGAGAGTTCCCCGGGATTTTCAAGTGGTGCAGGAGGACGGCCAAACAACCCAGGTCTCATGTACACGTTGGGATGCACTTAAAAGAAACTTTGCCAGTCTGGATTCAATTGCTGTCTAGGCAAAATGCCCCTCCATAGTACACTGTATGACGTACTCCCGTCTTCATTAGCCCAGTAGGGACAGAAAGTTAGGGCGTTAAACTCCATTTCATTTCACTTTTGTGCATTTATGGCCCCCGTTATTTTTAATATAAAAAGGCATCCTTGTGATTTTTTATAAACAATATTTTTATTCAGGATGTCTGTTTGGGATTGGGAAACAGGCCTAGCCTATGTAACACCACTCTCCCTAAATAATATTTATAATATATTTATAATATTCATACAAAAAAAACAAAGGGGTGTGGATACATAGTTAAAATGACAAACACACATATATACAGGTATGTACATCCCTTATATATAATAAATTGGATGAAATTGTACAGTATATATGTGTAGTTTAATGATCGAGTGCGAGACATAGATAATATATTAATATTGCACGAGTGCGATAGCAGGAGGACAATATCTATAAATTACGCAATGTCTTGCACCAGACCATTAAAAAACTTAAAATACAGACACTATCTAGCACGTGCATTTCAATGAAATACGTCACGCGGGTCCAATATTTAAACTAGTATAACTAATGTACGCTTGGCACATTGCCCGTACCATTATTTGAAATAATGGTACGCCAACATCAAAGGATGACGTCACATCTGTATTTTAATGTAGGTTATAGTCATACATCCACACACATACATACGTATTTTGCGACGTTATGACCCTATAACACATTCTATCCCTTGATAGGGTACATAACCTCATAGATCTGACGCTACAACAGATGAAGAGATATAATCTTTGTGGCAGGCCAAACTGTTAGGGTTAACATCACCACAGTCAATTTTAAATACAAATGTAAGACAAGTTACACCGAAAACGTGGGTAAATACACAAAGTAAAGAACGCGGTCCAGTAGAACTATACAAACCTTTTAAGAGTTTGAGGCCACACAAGTTCTCAAATCCAGCAAGCCCTTTTTATATTTCATGTTCAACTGAATCTAATCCAGAAGTGGGTTCCCAATGGCTTAATCGTCAGCCAGTTGACATACATAAACTTGAACATTTAATGAAAACCATGACAAATGCAGCTGGGATTTTAACCGACAACAATCACCAATCACAGTGCAAAAAACCCACTTAGTTTACAAACTGAATGATTCTAATGTTCTTCCATCTCATACCATGCACATATGTGACCATAAAAAATATTCAGAGCGTCAACAATTATTCCCATATTATATAATGATAATCAGCAAAGAAAATATCGTCAATTCTTTCTGGTTCAGTACCCAACTACCAGCGTCCGCCCCAACATCAACAACAGCCGCCATTTGTTCATCGTCATTATTGTCTACACAAAGTAATCACGGTAGAACATTCAAACAAACGCAATCATTGGCAATCTGTTTTTTTAGGGGGGGGGGGGTATCCAGTATTATTGTTGGAAAAAAGTTCTCAATTACCGTAAACAATTACATAAACATCCAAGAATTATAGACAGTGCCAGTGATTAGTTTGTAGAATGGTTAATGCACACTTTCTGCGTTATATAATTAATCAATATTTAAAATCCAATTATTTTCCTAATGATTTTAAGAATGCTAAAGTATTACCTGTTCACAAACGTAGCCCCAAAACTGATCCAAATAATATCCAACAACATACCAGTATTACCATCCATAGTAATTTATAAAAGTATTTACATGACAATAATCATATTAATCAATCTGGATTTAGATCCAATAACTCATGTTCAACCGCTTTAACTATCATAACAGAAATTTATTATAATGCTTTAAATAATAATGAATTGTGTTGGGCTATATTTTCTTATTTTAAGAAAGATTTGATCTTATTGAGCACAGTATCTTGTTGATCACGTCATCTTGCTGATCACAATGTCTTGTTGAAAAAATGTCGTTACTAGAAATATTTTAATAACTTTCTGAATTTAATTTGTCCTTACTTATACACCCGACATCAGTGTACTTTCACCAATGGACAGTTTTCTCAACGTAGACCAGTTACTCGTGGTATACCACAAGGATCAATTTTAGGACCATTATTATTTCATATAATTATACAGGGCACAATTATACAGAATACAATTACTGCTCATTACTGGGCGATGTTTCGACTAGGCTTATACAACAATACAAAAATGCATGTACACAACACCATTTTATCATTGCTCAGTAATAAGCAGTAATTGTATTCCATAGAATTGTGACCTGTATATTCCAGTTCAATTACTAAATGTCATTGAAGCAGTTTATTATTTAATTTGTTCATAAATGATCCCCTTTTTATGATATATATGCGGATGAGACAACAGTTTATTCGTCAGCTCTCAATATAGATGAACTCCAAATTCAATTACAAAGTGATACTGGTGTATTGCTGAAATCAATGATTGTTAAAGAATTGAAAACTAAATGCATGCTGTTAACTATTAAACAGAAACGAAAACGGCCTTTTCCCATAGGGTTATTTATATATCTTATCAACTGTGCAATTGAAAATATTTTAACTTTCAAATTGCTTGGTGTTCAGGTTGATAATCATATCACGATAATTATATTTATAAAATTATCAATCAAAAAATGTTTTAGTTACAAAAACTGAAAGAATTCCTTCCATGTAAATTCCGATGGTTATTTTGTATACCGTACATTTAACCATATCTGGACTATTGTTCACCTATATGTGATAACTGTGGTATTATATCTCTTAATGACAACAAAACCGAGCATTTAAACTTATCTTATATCTAGAGCACACTAAAGATTTTATTTCCTGGCATTGCTGATCTCAACTTATTAAAAATTAAAAATATATTAAATTATATATGCGATAACTGTGTTATTATATTCTCCAATGACATCAGGGGGTGGGGGTGGGGGTGGGGGTGGCCGAATGGTTAGCACGCGCGCGCTGTAAACTGGCGGGGTTTCGATTCCCCGGTTGTACGTGACAAGGAGTAGGGTTTACTCCGGCCCCCCCCGCCGCTAAAGACACCTACGCGCAAGCGAATTATTGAAATAAAAATTGAACCATGTGTTAGTCCCGAAATGACCTAGTTTGTGTCGAGTGGACGTTAAATCCATCTCTCTCTCTCTCTCTCTCTCTCTCTCACTCTCACTCTCTCCAATGACATCAAAACCGAGCATTTAAATTTTTTATAGATATAGAGCACACTAAAGGTTTATTTCCTGGCAATATAAGGAACGGCATATATTAAATACATAATTTATCATCGTAGTCCAAAGTATTTAAATAATTTTCGCCCCTTTTATAATACACATTATAATAATATTTTGTTCTCAAAATATTTATATATTTTGTATAATTCTAGTCATACGTATTTGTGAATAATATTCGCAATTATTACAATTTTAACTTACTTTTTATTGTTATGTTACACCAGGCCTATTTTCTACCCTTTAGAAATAAAGTTATTTTTATTATTATTATTATTATATTTGTCAGTCGTAGCGGGTTCGCTTCATAGTGACCTTGGCCTTGAAGGAAACAGCGGGTGACTTTCTGTCGAATAATTATGTATCACTACGCTGTAATGTAATCAGGTTCTGTAAAATAAAATCTATACTAAATAATTATTTTAAATTATCGATATGTGATATCAAAAAAAGACTCGAAGGAGGTTCTCTATGTTACAACTTTAGAGAATAGGCCAATGATATGTATACAATTGAGAGAGAGAGAGAGAGAGAGAGAGAGAGAGATGGGGTTTAACGTCCACTCGACATAAACTAGGTCATTTCGGGACTAACATACGGTTTAATTTTATTTCACTAATTCGCTTGCGCGTAGGGGTCTTTAGCAGTGGGAGGAAGCATACAATTGAAATTAGAGGACTAATAGATCGAGATTAAAATAATTATGGTTGTCATGTCAATAAACTTATGTACTTAAATTTAAAATGTTATTGTTTACATTTAGACTTTGGGTTGTGAAGCCGAACAGGAAACAGTTTATGTTTTTAAAATGATATTGTAGTTTGTCTTGTGTTTCCTTTTGTGCATACTTATTGTGTTACGCTGCTACCATATTAATCATAACCAGATTAGGCTGAGGTGTCACATGGCTGTCAAATAATTAAGGCTAAAATTATTTTATAATCTCTTAATCCGATTAAAATCAAATGATTTTTCAATACGTTTTATAGATTATCGGACAATTTTTATCATCATTGTGTTTTGCGCAATAAGACGCAGATCTGGTTCATCTATGTCACGATTGTGTCTTTATTCAAGGAAACGGGGGTGGTAAGGCTTTCTATAACTTGCATTATGGGAGATTAGATAACGAGTTGACAGTTCTTCTCGTTATAATAGTTTCAAAATAGATAACGTAAATAGAAAATTTCAGTCAAATTGATCCACTCTGAACCGTGATATTAGCTTTTGAATTTTAGGCTAGCATGGAGCGCCACTTCTAAAGTCGGTAGGATAAAAAAACAAAGTCACGATTATCAATTGTTGCGTTTAATCATCCTTCACAAAATGTATTCCAATCCGCTTAATATCGCAGGCTAGCGATGGCATCGAGAGTTGATTATGGTCTTGATAAGTTAATTAATGTCTAATTAATGATTAGATCACATTTCAGGCCTAAAGAAAGACCTGCAATAGACAGATTTATCTCTTGCATAATGTATGTTTAATCGCTTCGCTATCTCCAACTTATGGTAGACCTGGTTGTTATATGTCTGGATTGTGCCTTTATTAAAGAAAACAGTGGTGGTAAGGCTGTCTCCAACCTATGGTAGACAGGCCTCTCATATACGACCGGCTATACTTGCCTGTGCTATAACCCTCTCATATGCGACCGGCTATACTTGCCTGTGATATAACCCTCGGTGTATGCGGACGTTAAGCCACACCAACCAGCAACAAACCAACCGCCCCGAATAAGGTTAGATCTCAATATTAAGGCTACCTACAGATGCAAACATGGACATGTGATTGCGGCCGAGGATTGTGGACTAGGGTTAGGGTTAGTGCTAGGTCTTGGGTTAGGGTTAAGACTTTGAGAGAGATATTACGTCTCCACATAAGCATTGACCTAGGATGAGGAAAATTTGGTTCGTGATATTTCCAAGTTTTATAAAAAAAAATAAATAAATACATTAGATTTATATACAAAGTTGATTTCGTTGTTTTTGGGTGTTGGTGGCGCTGGTGGTCTTCTTTCGGTGTCGCTTGTGGTCTTCTGGTATTTTTATTTCTGAAAACAAATAAAAATTGAGTCTGTTTACATCTCGTGATCTGGACGAAATCTGCAGGTTACCTTGATATTTACATCTAACCCCTTGAATACATATTGGTTCTCGTGTAGTGTGCAAATTCGGAAACCTTATTACGAAACGAAATAAGGTACCTTTTCAATGAGATTTATAATCTGTCGACGATATAAAAGCTAGAAATAAGCAAACATTTGCAGGCCAAGAGTTCACAAAACAGTCTCAGACTCAAGTTAACAATTTACTCAACTTTCCATCACTGTTTATGAGAAATATCTTTCAACCAAAAACATAAATCTTTACACATAGTTTCTTAAGGGCTATATGTCAGTTAAAATAATGTGAACAAGTTCGAGTAAATTCTTAACTAAAGTCTGAGAATGCTTTGTGAACTCATTATACCGTTTCTCATTTGAGACTTCAGATCGATTTCATCTTTTTCAGTATAATTTTGTTTTGATTAGTCACAATTTCAAAATAGATTTTTTTTACAGAAAAATGTACCAGTCACGCCTATATTACCTTCTTAGCAGATGGATTCTGTTGGAAAGAATACAACACAAATTCTGATTGGTCAACAGCCAGTACCACATGTGAACAAGATGGCGGAAGGTTGATTTTAATGCGGAAGTGGGAAATAGATGTGAAGAAATTGCGACTTGAAGATATGAACTTGACCGGTGGGTGTACTAGAAGATACGTTTTGTTTTTTTTTTGTCTTACTGCTCTGCTCCGACTGGGTTAATGAAGACAGACATACGCCATGCAGTGCACTATGGGGGTAAGGGGGATCACGTGGCTAAGTGGGTAAGACGCTGGCTCGCTAGCCTGGAGGTCGGGTGTTCGATCCCTGCATTGGCCGAGAAAGTTCATCCCGATTTTCCGGCGTGGTTTCCCCTTGTCAGTGATGCAGGACGGAGGGCCTGAGAAGGAGAGCTGTCTAGTCGTTCGGATGGGACGAAAAACCGAGGTCCCGTGTACACATTGGAGTGCACGTAAAAGATCCCTTGGCAGTTGGAAGTCGATATAAGAGTAGGCCGTAGCGCCGCTGCCCGCGCAAAATTTCCCTCATAGCACATTGCATGGCGTATGCCCGTCTTCATTAACCCAGTCGGAGCAGAGCAGTAGGACGTTAAACCCCATTTCATTTCATTTCATTTCTATGGGGGTAATATTGCCCGGGCAGCGGCGTTACGGTTTATTCTTACATCGAATTCCAACTGTCAATAGCTCTTGTACCTCAATGTGTATACGCGACCTTTGGTTTGTCATCCCACCCGAACGACTATACGTTGTCCATATGCCAGACCTTGCGTCCTACACCACTGTCAACGGGGAACCCCGCCAGAACATCCAGAAGAACTTTCTCGGCTGACAAGAGACGTCCAGGTTAGCAAGCCAACGCCTTACTCATTGAGCCCCATGGGTCTCGATATATTAAGCCCGCTCTTCATAATTAATACCGGAAACGCACTGGGTACAAATTGAATATCTATGGAATACAATTATTTATTACTGAGAGAAGTTTCAACAGTCTATATTGAGTTGTGAAACAGTTATACAAAATTGATGGGTCGTTAGGTTTTATAAGCAATAACAACAACTCATGAGCATATCATTTAAACTTGATCAAATCACCAGAGAACTTGCAGGAAAGCGGTAGAAGGCAAAAGATGGAAGTTATGCTTCAACATACATTATGCAAGAGCTGAATCTGCCAATTGCAGGTCTTTCTTTAGGCCTGAAATGTTATATAAATTATTAATTAGACATTAATTAACTTATCCAGACCATAATCTGCTCTCGATGGCATCGCTAGCTTGCGATATTTACTGGATTATGATCCCATATGCAGCTCGACTTCCATTCATAATTTAATCATGAAATGGATGATCGAGAATATGTTTTTTTTTATCGTACAGACTTTAGTAATGATGATCGAGTTTAGGCCGAAATTTCAATCGCTTAATTCTCGGTTCATAGTAGATCAATTTGACTAAAATTTTCAGCAAATTGCCTTTACATTATCTAGTTTTTAACTATTATAGTAAGAACTGCCAGCTCTTTATCTTATCTCCCATAATGTATCTTTAACAAAGTAAAATCCGGGCCACGAAATACGATGTAAAGAAAGGTCGGAGTTTAACGTCTACTCGACACAAACTAGGTCATTTCGAGACTAACATATGGTTCAATTTTATTTCAATAATTCGCTTGCGACTAGGGGGCTTTAGCAGTTGGAGGACCCAGAGAAAATCCACACGGTTGGACAGGCGACCCTACTCCTTGTCACGTACAACCGGGAGATCGAAACGACTCGAGTTGACGCAATGACAGAACTTATCATGCATGATACAACGCGCACGCGCTAACCATTCGGCCATCCAACCCCCAATCCCCACCGGAATCGAACCCGGAAACTCTAGGCTTGTGAGTCAGCACCTTACACCGCGGATCGGAAATATGAAAGGAACTGACGACATAGGTGTATATGAAATAGTACTTCACGATGTTTGTCTCCATGGGTTACAGTAGAGTTAATAAGTAAGTGTTTAGATGGAGTTAATAATTCTAAACAAATAGTAGGCGCAAATATTGTCTGGACCACCGCCATGATCAACAATTTAAAAAAATAATGAGGTGTCCTTTTAACAAACGACTTAAAAATATTAATAAGATGTCCTTAAAATAACCGATAAAATCAATCTCCATATGTTTGTTTTCGCGTCTGAACAGAAATAACATTTTCAATTTCCATTTATTTTCTTAAATCATCGACCTAAGCGTCTTGAAAATATTTCAACATAACTTCAAACTATGACTAAGTATAATGTCTAAAGTCTGTTACGCCCATGTTTGTAAGCGAGATTTTTAAATAACTTGTCTGATTCCGATTTCTAACTCCGCGGCAAATAACTCGTCTGAATCCGATTCTCTTTCAGTAGATACAATAATACCAAAGTTCACAACTCTAGATTCCGTCAATCAGTGACAATTTATACTTACCAATTTTTGCTAGGTAGACAATCGAATCTAGGTTAACGTTTGAAATTGTCCATGTGACTTAAAAACGTAACAGACTTCAGACGTATACTTAGTCATAGCTTAATGTTATTTTTGAAATATTTTCCACGTTACTGGCACCTATGGTCTTGATTAGCTCAGTCGACACAGAACAGTAAGGTGTTAAACCCCATTTCATTTCACTTATCCATCTAACACACACTAGCATGGAGGTCGGGTGTTCGATCCCTGCATTGGCCGAGAAAGTTTATCCAGATTTTCCAGCGTGGTTTCCCCTTGTCAGTGATGCAGTACGGAGGGCCTGACAAGGTTCTGTGTACAACTTAGGGTGCACGTAAAAGATCCATTGACAGTTAGAATTCGATATAAGAGTAGGCCGTAGTGCCGCTGCCCGGGCAAAATTTCCCTCATAGCACACCGTATGGCGTATGCCCGTCTTCATTAGCCCAGTTTAGGAGCAGAACATATAGACACGTATAGTATACAAATATATGTCTCCATTGTTTGTCTGCGATTTTTCCAACATAATTTACTACAGGCATTTCGTGTAGCGGCCTGTCCAACCTCGTGGGTTTTCTCCGGGTCCTCCGGTTTCCTCCCACTGCTAAAGACCCCTACGCGCAAGCGAATTATGTAAATAAAATTGGACCGTATGTTAGTCCCAAAGTGACCTAGTTTGTGTCGAGTGGACGTTAAACCCCATTTCTCTCTCTCTCTCTCTCGTGTAGCGGTTTTTTGTCATGAAAGGAGTTCATGAGACTCAAAGGCCACATTTGATTATCAAACCTGTTTTTTTTTTAAGGAACATGAAGTTGTCATCAACTGTTTCAAGCTATTGTTGAAGTGGAAAACAACAACTTGCTCTTGGTTTCTATTTTTAGATAAAATATCAAAGAAAAGAAGACAATGCAAATATGTGCTTAACGTCTGTATTTGTATTGTGTCGTCTCTCAAAATAGTGTCTGTGTTGATTGCCAGAGGGATCAATGACTAATTTTCCTTCTGCCTTCTCCCATTTCCACCCTGTGTGTGACTAGCCATCCAACACGCCTGGTTCTTCCGCAAGTTTCCTAGGACACACTTGTCAACGAGAGGGAGATAAAGGGGGTTTACCGTCCACTCGACACAAACTAGGACATTTCAGGACTAACACATGGTTTAGTTTTATTTAAATACTACGCTTGCGCGTAGGCGTCTTTCGCAATGGGAGGAAACCGAAGGACGCGGAAAATCCCACGAGGTTGGACAGACGACCCTACTCCTTGTCACGTACAACCGGGGAATCGACACCACGCCAACTGACTCAATGACAGACCTTATGATACAACGCACATGCGCTAACCATCCAACACCCCACTTGTCAACGAACTTCGTAAAGACAGTAGACTAAGGGATATATATACCACGTATGAACATCCAATTGCCAAGCACGCAAAATAACACCTGCCACTTGAAATTCAACGGAGAGTAGGCGGAAATGCCACATTGCCCCGGCTAAATCTATTTGTTAAGGCCAGCTCAATTTTTGTCAAGATCGCTGAGATGTAAATAAGGTTGGGGCACGTGATTGTTGGCGAGATTGTAGGTTAAGGTTGGGATTGGCGCTAGGACTGTTTACATCTCGTGACCTATGACGAAAAATTGAACTGGCTTTATCATTTAGCACTAACCACAATTTACCCATAGCACACGGTATGTCGTATACCTGTCTTCATTATCCCAGTTGGTGCAGAAAAGTAGGACGTTAAACCCTATTGCATTTCGTTTATTATAAGGTCCATGGTTCGACAGTTGGAATTCGATGAGGGGTAAAACTTCTCTCATAGCACACCTTGTGTTGTATGTCCGTCTCAGGGCCGTATGTAGGATTTTAAAACTGGGGGTGCAGCAGAGTGGTGGGGCGCCATAGCTTCCACAAGTGATATAAGAAAGTTTGGATCAGGGCAAACGAACCCATTGGCGTGTGGGCGCCCTTAAAACCGACCGACTGATCAGTGCCTTAAGAGCATCACTGTGATCACAATCAAGTGTATTATTTTATAATTGAAAGATTGTCAAATTATTTTTTTGTGGGGGCGCCATTTCTCGGGGAGCCTTATTTTTCTGTGGGTGCAATGTACCCCCGGCACCCCCGCTAGGTACGACCCTGGTCCGTCTTCAGTAGCCCAGTTGGTGAAGCAGCAAAGTAGGGCGTGATACATGTGTTTCCAGATTTCGGAGACACGGTGGCTCAGTGAGTAACACGTTGACTCGCTAACCTAGAGGACTCACGCTCGATCTCGGTTTCGGTTGAGAAAGTTCAACGGAATTTCCTGGCGTGGTCCCCCCTTGACAGTGGTGCAGGACGTATAGTCGTTTTGATTTGACGACAAATCGAAGTCCTGTGTACACTTTCGATATACGAGTAGACCGTACTGTCGTTGTCCGGGTAAAATTTCCCTCAATGTCCAGTCGGTGTAGAACAAGAGGGCGTTAAAGAAACATTATGGGAGATTAGATAAAGAGCTGACAGTTCTCACTATAATAGTTTTATTAAAAACTGGAAATTTCAGTCAAATTGATCCACTCTGAACTGAGATTTTAGCGATCATCATTACTAAAGTCAGTATGATAAAAACATAGTCTCGATTATCCATTTCATGATTAAATTATGAATAGAAGTCGAACAGCAGATCGGAACCTAATCCAATAAACATTGCAGGCTAGCGATGCAATCGAGGGTTGATGATGGTCTGGATAAGTTGATAAATGTCTAATTAATAATTTAAATAACATTTCAGACCTAAAGAAAGACCTGCAATAGGCAGAATTAGCTCTATCATAATGTATGTTTAAACTTCATTTCATTTCCTTTTTTCCTTTGTATATTTCAGCCCCTAGTTATTTTATGGGAGGCAGTGATCTGGATGTAGAAGGGAAGTGGGTATGGAACGATGGATCGCCCATGTCCATGACAGATTGCTGGAAGTCGGATCAACCGGACAATTGGAACGACAACGAAGATTGTCTGGAGCTCCGGTACCCATTTCCTAGGTTTTTCGATGCACCTTGCCTGACACCCAAACCGTTCATCTGTGAGATAGAACTCTTTTGAAGAGACTTTAGTGGTTTGGTGTGTATGTGTGGTTGTGGAAGCAGGTGGGGGTGGAGGAGGCGGAGGGCGGGGGAGGGGGTCTTCGCCGGTCGATGTAATGATTACTTAATATAGTTACATCGGATTTGTGAAATGAAATTAAAGGGAAAGGGGGTTTAACGTTCTACTATTCTGCCACATCAGGGTTGTATTAGAATATTTGAGACACAACTTTTGAATGGTGAAATGAAATGAAATGGAGTTTAACGTCCTACTGTTCTGCTCCTAACCTGGGCTAATTTAGACGGGCATACGCCATACAGTGTGCTATGAGGGAAATTTTGCCCGGACAGGGGCACTACGACCTACTCTTATATCGAATTCCAACTGCCAAGGGATCTTTTACGTGCACGCCAATGTGTACACGGGACCTCGGTTTTTCGTCCCATCCGAAAGACTAGACAGCTTTCCTTGTCAGCCCCTCCGTCCTGCATCACTGACAAGGGACTTTTGAATGGTAAACTCTATATTAGAATGGTTCGATCCCTGCATTGGCCGAGAAAGTTCATCGGGATGGGGGGACTGACAAGGATAGCTGTCTAGTCGTTTGGGTGGGACAAAAAAACGAGGTTCCGTGTACACATTGGCGTACACGTAAAAGATTCCTTGACAGTTGGAATTCGATATAAGAGTAGGCCGTAGTGCCGCTGTCGGTGCAAAATTACCCTCAAAGCACACTGTATGGCGTTATGCCTGTCTCCATTAGTCCAGTTCGGAGCAGAACAGTAGGACGTTAAACCCCAGTTCATTCCCTTTCAGTTCTTTATACTAAACTTCTAGCTGATGTCTTCATTAGCCTTGACAAAGTTTCAAAAGAAGGACGTTAACCCCATTGAATTTAAACTAACAAACCGTTTTGTTCAGGTAATCAATATTTTAACGGAGAAATATATTAATGGAAACCTGTATCAACAAGTAAAACTGCACGAAACCTACATTTTTAAAACTTTTTAATTTGTTTATCTCATATTTGTCTTCCTTCATGTTGTTAATTTAAAAAGAATATTAAATCGATTGCCAACACAATATGCAATAGGATAAATTGGATTTCAACGAACACAAGTTTTATACTGGTAAATTGATTTGCAAAATAAACAGAAGACTAAAATAAGCTAATGTAAAAAAGAAAAGTTATTTAATATGGTTGCGTTGCGGAGCAATGCCCTTCTTGAAAAACACCAAAAGAATTAGAGCTAAAATAGAGCCAATAAACACAAAAATATAATATTCAACACAAGTACTTTTTTTAATTAAAGCGACGTTTCATTGAGGGTTCTATCAACGTTCCCCACCCCCACCCCAGCCCCTATTAAGAAACGGGCTTTAACCAGGTGGTAAGTTCGAATCCTGAGTATTTTTAAGCTCAGTTTTGTCTTGTCAGGGGTCGCTCCGGTCGGCGGGGCAGGTAAAGTGTTGCTCGTTCGTTCTAAGATTTGTTAGTCGATACTGCTTCCAATAATACTGTTTTGATCGCTCAATTCGAGGACGTTGCTCTGAGCTAATTACGCCCCTGAATACTATAGGTTGTTTTTAGTTCTATGAAAGCTACTCTGTTTAATATATTTAAGTGGTTTAAAAACAAACGGGTGACAACGAGAACTGGGCTAAGTAGGTATTTTGAAAGATTCAACTTTCTTAGACTAACTCACTGACAGTTCCTGTCACCATCACTTTCTGGAAATAGGTTACTCGTGCACAGATAAGTCCAATTAAATGAACAGTTTTGATGCAAACGGGTGCTCAAAATGAAACACTTAACCCAAAAATGGTAATTGCCTCTCTCTAATAGCCGACGTATCTAAACGTTTGATATAAATTAACAGCACAATCAAATTTGCTTTAGACATCATTTAGTATTCTCAGAAGGAGGTTCCCACAGCCGGGATACAGACATCATGCAGGGTTCTTAGAAGGCATACTCACAGTCTCCTCGGCTTAGAGACTTGGATCAAAACAACATGCAGTGTTCTTAGAGGGACATGCCCAAAACCTCCTCGACTTACAGACTTGGGGAGATCACCATGTAGACTTAGAAAGAAGAGCGTAAATTTTATATTTACCTTATATTTAATGCCATAGCTGTGTGTGTAGTTTCCTGTATATAACCTTTGTATTATGGATTGTATAAAGTTATATAAACATAGTTTGAACAACACAGTGTTCCAGAGTTAATTGATCATTGAAGTTCTATATGTGTTTGTAACAAGTAATATACCAGTGAAATGTAAATTTAAAAATCTTAAGTGAGAGTATCAATTAGTTTTAAGTCCACAAGAGACTCCCAGCGACGTCATTTTGATACATATTAAAATCAATAGAGGGCTGTGTACCCCAGGAAATGATTTTGTCAGCCCGTCTTGTGAACTATGTAATGTAAAAACGGACAAGGTAGATATCAATGTGTTATGAAAGGGCAATTGATTTAATTTACGTGAGAGATGTTATTTACAGACAGTTCGTTTTATTGACTGAACTGGAGATGAATGTTTTCTTGTAGCTTTGGCGGAGAATAGTCGATAATTGTGCAATCGACATGGTACGATAACAGAAGATACAGGGTTATTGTGTTGCAATGGAATGAATAACCATCCCAAACTTAGGCTGCCTATCTACAGCTAGCTCCGGCTGAGAATAGGCCCTAAGCTAATTAACCGACATTTTAATTCCTACATCGACGATTTTAGTCGAAAACATTGAGTATGCTTTTAGAAATTTTTAAAAGTATTTATTTCTCTTCTATTGTCATATTGAATAAAATTAAATATGTTTATTTAGCCGCTGTGTGTATGAAAGATGGCAAACTAATCAAAGCCGAATCACAAAATAGTCCTCTAATTATTCAATATGGCGGCGCCCATGAAACATAATTTTACAGAGGCGGTTTTGTTTGCGAAAACAAATTTAAGAGTATCTAACCTTGTTTTGAAAGATAAACAGATTGAAACTCTAAAGACAGTTTACAGTGGTACAGAATTTATTGCAATATTACCCATAGCACATACTATATATCGCTTTTACGCGAGTGTCATCGACATGGCGTGGGTTATTTTTACTCTGTTGTCTAAACAAATCGGTTTTTAGTCGATAAGTCCCGCCCCAAAATGGTCACGTGGGCGTTTTAAATGGCGGCTAATCGGGGCAGTGTCACATTCTGGGAAGTATGACGTAGATGGGTCGCTGCGTGCAGTATGATGAATAACATGTCGTAATAAAGACTTGCTGTATTTATATCAGCCGGCGATATATGTGGGGGTGGATGAATGTACATGTAGATCCCAAAATGAAATGAAATGAAATGGGGTTTAACGTCCTACTGTTCTGCTCTGAACTGGGCTAATGAAGACGGGCATACGCCATACATTGTGCCTTGAAGGAAATTTAGCCCGGACAGCGGCACTACGGCCTACTCTTATATCGAATTCCAACTGTCAAGGGGATCTTTTACGTGCACGCCAATATGTACACGGGACCTCGATTTCGACCCATCTGAACGTCTAGACAGCTGTCATTGACAAGGTGGAACCACGCCGGAAAATCTGGATGAACTTTCTCGGCCAAAGCAGAGATCGAACACCCGACCCCCAGACTAGCGAGCCAGTGTCTTACCCACTTAGCCATCGTGATCTCAAGATCTGTTATTTATACGAGTCGTCGTTTCAAAAGTGGTCAAATTGCCTGCCTACCATCGTGGATATATCCCTGGTAGATTTCTAGGTGGACGAATGCAAGTTTAAAAATGCAATTCTTTAACCAATTCTACCGATCACCAGAGGCGGATTCAATGGGGGGCGCGAGGGGCGCGCGCCTCCCCTAATTTTCGGCAGTGCCCTTTTTTTACTGCTGAAATTGCCTTTTCTCAGACTCAAATATGTCTGTTCCCAACCCGTTGTAGGGATCCCAAATGACTCAAACCATCGACTCGAACACACCAGTCTGGGAAATAGCTCTTGGAATGGCTACAGATGCAAGCAAATGAAGGATAATTTTCTTGGGGACCCCCCCCCCCTTCAGCGGCGTGCCCCGTCTCCGCGGTCAATGTCTTGATTTTCCAGCGCCCCCCCTTTTCAAAATTCCTAGATCCGCCCCTGGATCACTTCCGAGCGGCTCAGAATTTTGATTTGACATTTCCATACACGATAAAAAAAAGGGCTATATTATTTGGTTTACCTACTTACTTACACCCTTTTGTGCTCACGCGCCGACAGCATTCCGTTACCAATGCCAACTTATAAAGTCTGAGGCCGCGAGGATAGGCACTACTCATCGTTTGCTATCCTACTAAACACTAGCAACAACATTATCCCAGTGGTGGCATCTCCAGCTCAAGAAAAGAAAACCCCCCATACTCATCCCTACCCTCCATCCCTTCCCCCTCTATTAAGTTGGCCAACAGCAGTAGTTACACTGTCTCTCCACATTGATGCACGATCATAAACTTCATTGAACTTGAAATGCACAGGTCACAATTCTACGAGATACAATTACTGCTTATTACTGAGCGACGTTTCGACTGGACTTGATCAATATTAACAAAGTCCAAAGATCGCTCAGATAATAAGCCGTAATTTTCTTCCATTGATTCGCGACTATTATACTCAGTTCCATGAGAGAGAGAGAGAGAGAGCCAGCGCCTTACACACTGGACCACTGACAGGAGGAAACAAAAACCCGAAACATCTCGGGAGCTTTAATAACAACAATTACAAGTGAAAGACGTACATGCAAAGTAATGATTCCATGGTACATTTGTTAGCATAAGTTACACCATTATCCCCAAAGATATGGCTCCAGGTCATCTAACAAGCTCGAAGACAAGGGTCCATTTCTACAGGTGCGCCCAGACTACCTGTTGAACA